TAGGCATGTCTAAAAGGTCATTTTTTTTGTATATTCCAATGAATAGGTGTAATAAACATGTACTTCAAAAGTTTCGAACGACAGCTATGTGGCAAACTTTTTGTTTCACGTTTATGACCCCATTTATCGTTTATTGTTTTGTCGTGTTTCGCACTGATCAACTTTTATGATCATGGATTCTGCCTAAAATAATACTTAATTTTTTTTAATGACTTGCAATCTTTTGGAACAAATGGTATCTTTAGTAAGAACGTCTTTAAAATAGGCAAAACACGAAAAAAAATAGTTATGTAAAAATGTAGTGGGTCTCAACTTAAATTATCAAAGACTTCTTTTTATGGCAGTTATCACATACAACATTTATACCTCTTATAACTCAATTGTTGTTTCAGATGCCAAAGCCTAAAACGATAAAATTTTAGCAGGCTACTAGTTCGATATAGATAACAAAAATAATTAAATGATAGAGAACTATAAAGAAAAATCACAAAGATCCGACACAGAGCACCCGACTCCGTGTGGTCTTCCCTATCCATAGAGTGAACATCAAAAGGCGGAGCCAGAACCTCGTGTCGGAGGTATAAATTGGCCTCGCGGGCTTGCTCCACCCAGGATCGACATAGCGACAGTTCTGGCGAAGAGCATGGAAGAGTCAAATTAAAAAATGAAATTATATTTTTTTAAGCTATTGCACAGCTTTTATCGCGGGCTTTGAGCGCGGCGAACGAATCAATAAATTCCGTAACGAAAATAAAACCTAACACCACCCACTCCGCCTACCACGCAAGAGGAAAGATTTGATTGTTTTTATGCATTGAATAGGCTCCTTGTAAGCTACATTATCCCCGGATGACATAGGATATATTAAATTTTCAAAAAACTAGGAATCCTTACTAAAACTTGAATAATGTTAACCCAAAGTGTACAAAAATTACCTAAAATATTGTTTGCATCGCGTGCGCTGCTAAAAAACTATTGATAATTGTATAAAATAATGTACTACGAATTTGCAGAACACATCATTATTTATAAAAAGTGTTTCCACAGTATATGTCTAACTATTATAGTTATGCCACAATAAGTATTCTTTTACTTTAAAATTTTGATTGAAATGCCGCCGCTAGAAAAGGCTCTTTATTTGTATCTTGGTATTAATCCTTATAAAAATAAATTACTTTATATTTAAGACTGTTTCAATATCTTTATATAACTTTTTGAATGATTAAATTCGGACATTCCATTCGAAAGAGATCACAAGTTTAAAAATGTTAGTATATTGTAATTTAACTATCCAGAGCTTAGTGACTGACTTAGTAGTTCTTATCATTTTTGTAAAGAATATAAATGAATTATATATTATTAATTATAATATATATTAATTATTATATTATTAAAATATTATTTATTAACATAAATATAAATATCAAAGAAAAAAATACTGCATAATTAAATAATTATAATCGCATAAATTGATAAAAGATTCTATGCTATAGCTTTACCCCAGCTGAGCCGAGTGCGACAGGTTTTTTTTTATAAAAATGTTTTTTAATTTTTACTAGTTTGTTTCCTTCGTTTTATTATTTCATTTTTAGTTTCTAGATACTAGCCCGGCTTCGTACGCCATGCTATTTCCAATTCATTTACAGAAAATTATTTTTTTTAACATTTAGCATGAATATTATTGAATCAGCAAAATGCATTCAGAATACGATACACAGTATTTTACTCAATTCGTTAGCGGGTTTTACCTAATTATCTGCCTACATAGCTACCTTCCTACGTACCCTACCATTACCTACCTATCAAGCTATCTACCTACCGCACGCATAATCAAACATGTATAAAACAAGCTTCGTTTTCTTCATAAAAATTAATTAAAACATAAAATTAAATTATATACATAATTAATTAAAACGCAAATTATCAACAGCTACGAGCTTTTTTAAATGAAATTTAATAAATTATACCTAAATAATTATATAAAAAAATATTCAGTTTAAAAACTTGTTGAAAACAAATTTAACGTAAGCTTAAAAAATAAATGACTTCAAATGAAATAAAAGTATCAAGTTGCGTCAGTTACATAAAGTTTCGCTGCTTCGCGCTTGTCGCTGTGTGCGTGAGCCGTGCACGTGTAGTAGTACGCCTCTGTACCTAAAATTGAAGCGCGTGAATTCGTAAACGCGTCCTTAATATCAACCGGCGGCGTCTCTCATTCTGCCACTAATGAGGCTTTTCTCGCGTCTCGACTATAAACTTCACCGTGATGCGAACGGTATTGTTTGATATTAAAATTGGATTAAAAGCGTCACAATATAGCTGATAGCATTATAAGTATATAATAGTGTTACGCTAGGTAAGCGAAAACTTGGTGCACATCTGTGAAGGTGGCAAAGCAAGCTGGCAGTTCATCTGATGTTAAGTGATACCCGCCTCCAATGGATGGCAGATACGTTGCCCCCTTTTAGTAAAGTGGGCCCCGGCTACCTCACCTTACTCACCAGACGAAACGCTGAAAACACAACGCAGTAACACTTCAACTAGACGCGTCTTCTGTGAGGTCGTGGTACTTCCCCTGACGGACCTGCAACAGACCATTCTTGCAACACCGATGTTGCGTAGCCCTACCACAGTTAAGAGAAGTATTTAGCTAAATTTATATTATTGAAACGGATAATATACTTAACGTATCAAGCGATTTAAGAAAAACATTTTTGCCTTTTTTATTACGTGAGTTGCCATCCTCTGAAGATTAGGTGAAGAGGATGATTAGTTGATTTAGTACGTTGCAATAGGCTCTAGATAAGATACGGACATTGTATATCGTTATACTAGACTTTTGTGCCGTTGACATCGCCTAAATGACGTGAACAAGTTGTGAATATTTAAGTCTTAAGTTTAAAGCGATTTATGAATAATCATAACTTTCCATAAAAAGTTATAGAAATAAGACCTAAATATATTTGCCATATGGTTTCAATCATATACTAACATCTGAACCATGATAATGTTTCATTTCCCGACACTTATTGTATAATCATATCAAGTGGCCGCTCTGCAACCTTTCGCAACACAAACCATACAATGTACATAACATGAAAATTATTTTAAAGATAAAATCAAGGGTTAATCCGAGAATAATTGCGACCGTAGTTTATTGCATTCAATACAAATAAAATTAACCATTTATAATCGACATAGCAATATTTCGATGCATTTCAACCTAAAGCAAATACGGGTTATTAATGTAATTATATGCCCGAGTGCCGATATCAAATTTGCCAAGGTATGGGCTTCGGCGGCGGGGCTAGTGAGTTCGATTCCCACATGTAACAACTATTTGTTTGACCCACATATAATTGTTTCGGATGTGGGTGTTTGTCCATGTGAAGTTTATCTATGTAAAACGCCCTTACAACACAGGATAACGTTATCTTACAGTAAGGCAATGTTTTAAAAATAAAAACTTTAGGTCCAATTAAGTTAGGGTACAGGTCAAGTTTATTTTATGTGACAATCTATACAAGTATGTAAATAACACAATGTGAATAACAAACAGTTCACAATCAGGCGGACAGTAAAAATCATAAACAAGTGACGGAGCATGTTCTCGGCGATTGCTACTCTACGTAAACACAGAGTGCACATTTTCTCCTGAACAACTAAGTTTACAACGAGACTTTATTTCGAAACTGAAGTCGTTCAACCTACTTTAACTTTTTTATTTCCGTTCGTATTAACAGCGATTGCGTTGCCTCGTCGTCGCGGCGTTTGCGGACCACGGCAGTTGCTCGATTTTACGACAGCGTTGTGCAAATCCAACCTTACTCAGTTTGCAACAGAAAAATATCCACTCTCAATATGTCTCTAAATATATTATTCATGTGTCGTGTGTTGCTAGAATTATTTGTAAGAGGAAAACAACTTAAGTAAAATTGTCTCTCTGTTAATATTTTGGGTAATGGCATAAAATGTTATATATAAGCTTTAATTATCGACTTATCTGATATTGTCGAGTTTTATAACGCCTCCTAAAACATCTACGGAAAAGACTGGACGGTCTGAAGTCATCGAATCACTAACATCTCTCACATTGTTAGCCCTGTGACAAGCTTGTCGTCTACTTAGCCATAAACACGTCCCGATAAATCTCTTAACAGCGTGCCCAATCTCGCTGGTTTTAATTTATATCGAGGTGTCGATGACCTTATCGAACGCATTAAGGCGAACCGTATCGCGTTCTGAACTAGAGCCTAGCAACGCCGTCTTGTACGGTTAATCTAACATGAACCATGATATCGGACTTTTTGTTTTCTACGTAACCTAAAATAACTTTACAAATGAGCCGCACACAAGCCTCCACTATATTTGTCTTACACAGTAGAAGGTAATGTCTGTATACAGTATATGATTTAAATTACCATTTCATTACGAAATAATTAAAATTTGTAAATGGTTTCCTATGTCGACACGCCTTCTACTAAAAGCCTTTGCATTTTGTTGATGTTTAATATGAATCGTGCGTTTCCTATTTATGGCGACATAAGATTGTGGCGGAATTCATATTGACTATACTATATTAATTGTTAGAAATTTAAATTGTTTATAGTGCTAATCTTTGCACTTAAGATTGAACATTAAAATATGTAGAAAAAGTGCGAAAAGATTATCGCCGCTGTGGGAATCGAACCCACGTATTCAGGCTGCGAATGCCGAAGACGTGGGTTCGATTCCCAGAGCGGCGGCAATCTTTTCGTACTCTTTCTACATATTTTATTATATTAATTGTTTTCCCAAAACTGTGATTTAGCTTTGCTTACAACACATGTGGCATAACCGTTATGAGAAGAGGTCACTACAACTACTGCCAGTCTAGCTGATATACCTATATGATATATTATAATAAAGCGATGCATCGTCGACAACCCTACGTTGTACGATTCCCGCTACATATCTACGTTCGACGCTTCGCTCGCTGACTCGATACTTTTTTTTTACAGACGTGCGGCGCATTGTCGACAACCCTACGCTGTACGACAAGTACGAGGAGTTCTCTGTTCGGCGCGCGCTTGCCGCCGACCCTGACACGCGATGGTGCCCCGCGCCCGACTGCAGGTCTGTCTAGCCAGCCTTAGCCACCGAGCCAGTTTGAGCCCGTACTGTATGACTGAACAGCGCCGCATACTGTACCACAAAGTTCACTGTCCATCAGTCTGTCAATAATACTAATTTGTTTTTTTTGCAATCCGAAAAAACGCCTTTTTACTTGAGCGGTCTTTGATCTCCGCACAGATGAAACGTTAAAATTGATGTTAAAAATGGACGATAAAGTTTATCTTGTTCGAACGTGTAGTCGTAGGCACAATATTCGAAATTGTTTGTACGGCCCGTGACGTCACCGCCCCCCCCCCCCCCCCCCGCCCCCTTGCAGCTTCGCCGTGGTGGCGACCGGGTGCGCGTCGTGCCCGAAGCTCACGTGCCTGGCGCCCGGCTGCGGCGCCTCCTTCTGCTACCACTGCAAGGCGGCCTGGCACCCCACGCAGACGTGCGACGCGGCGCGCAGGAGCCGCCAGCCGCCGCCGCGCGCGCCCCAGCCCCAGCACCCGGACACGGAGCAGGGTGAGCGACGCCATTTCAACGGCGGCCATTTTGCCACGCAGCGGTGTTCGCTGTCTGGCACGAATGGGCGGGTCCGTAGACTGACAGGAGGCCGGCGCGCTCGTTTGCCACATAAAAGAAACCATCGTGTTTCCCCCGCCTCCCCAGCTGCAGCACGCGGACATGGAGCAGGGTTAACGACCCCTGGGGCTTTTTAGATAAGCTTTGATCGCCTATCACTAAAGCGTTGCCTTCAATGTACATTGCAGTTGGGCATAAACTCATCGCGAGACGATATAAATCCATTACACGCGCGAGACACGCGTGGGTACGGAAGATTTGGGAAACTGTGGTAGGGCCACGCAACAGTCTTTTCTGTCGCACGAATGGGCAGGTCCGTCCGGGTAAGCACCGTGACCTCACGGAAGACGTGAAGTGTAAGTAAGCGTTACACTTCTGCGTTTCGTCTCGTGGGTGATGTAGCCGTGGCCCACATTATTAAAAGGTGGCAACGCGTCTGCAAACCTACGGGCGGTGCTAATGTCAATGGGCGTCAGCTCGTTTGCCACTTTCAGACAATAAAAAAAAGCGCTTGCCATGTGTACACATCCGAGGAACCTATTTTACTCGTCAGTAGAGAACCCTCTCTGAGGAGTCTGATAGAGTTCGCAAAACGTACGCCATAACAGTTGTGCGGCCTGCTAGCGTTACCTGCATTCTTTACACTATCCACCAATGAAAATGCAACCTTGAAACTATCCGGATTAAAGTCCTTTTTTGTGGATCTGCCATAACGAGGAGATTTCAATTTCTTCACAGGCGAGGTGAAGCCATGCCCCCGCTGCTCGGTGCTGATCGTGAAGGTCGAGGACGGCTCCTGCAACCACATGGTGTGCTGCGTCTGCGGCGCCGAGTTCTGCTGGCTCTGCATGAAGGAGGTCTCCGACCTTCACTACCTCAGGTGAGCCGTCGCCCCGTCTTCGGCAGCGTGTTTCTCGATGGTCTTTCGCGAATACTTCCCATAATTAGGTCGAGGACTCGAAAAAAAAAAACATGTCTTTTGTACGAGAGCTCCACTTAAATATTTTTTTACTCGGTTTTATAGTATTTGTTGCCATAGCGGCAACAGAAATACATCATCTGTGAAAATTTCAACTGTCTTACGCGGTTAGTGAGATACAATCTCGTGACAAACGGACAGACAGACAGATAGACAGCAGAGTCTTAGTAATAGGGTCCCGTTTTACCCTCTGGGTACGGAACGCAAAAAGGTTTTTCAATTCGGTCATACTTTTGTTTTGTTTGTTACCTCAGAACTAAGTCATTTACGAACCGTTGTTAAAAAAATATTTGATCCGAGATGAAAGTGTGTAAAAATAGTAAAGAAGGGGATTGAAGTAACGTTGAAAGATCTCACATTTATACATACAACTGGACTGTAAACGCGTAAAAAAAACCGATCTATGCACAGCCCGAGCGGTTGCACGTTCTGGGGCAAGAAGCCGTGGTCGCGCAAGAAGAAGCTGCTGTGGCAGCTGGGCACGCTGGCGGGGGCACCGCTCGGCATCGCCGTGGTGGCGGGCGTGGCGCTGCCCGCGCTGCTGGTGGGGCTGCCGCTGTGGGCGGGCAGGCGGGCGCACCGCCGCCTGCGCAGGGCTCCGCCCGCGCGCCGCAGGGCCGCCGTCGCCGCCGCCGTCGCCGCGGCCGTAAGCTCCAGACTCTCTTGTTTAAGTCTCGATCGCGACAACCCTAGCGTTTCACAATCTGTGAAGTGTGCGTGGCCCTACCATAGACACTGATATCGTGTTGCGAGTTCAAACAAAACCCCAAGCGAGCGGCTATTTCGGTTGATTCGCACTCCGTACTTAAAAAAAGTGCGTCTCGATCGCGACAACCCTTTTTTATTTTAACGTGGGGGAAATGCCTACGCATACCCGCCTTCGTAGGGGCAAGGACGCGCTGTGTCGGGACTCGCACCGACTACGCACCGGGTACGATTTCACAATGCCACGATCGCGACAACCCTAGCGTGGCTCAGGTAATAAAAGTGAAACTTGACGTCGCAGCTGCTGGTGTCGCCGCTGGTGGCGGGGCTGGCGGTGGGCATCGGCGTGCCGATCCTGCTGTTCTACGTGTACGGCGTGGTGCCGGTGTCGCTGTGCCGCGCGGGCGGGTGCGCCGCCGCGCCGTCGCCGCCCTACGACGAGGAGCGCGACGCCGCGCCCGACGCGCCCGACGCGGACGCCGCCTCGCGCCGCCTCGAGCCCAGCATCGGTCAGACGAATTACCGCTCTATTCCATATACGCTAGGGTTTAAAATTTCAGTCTATACAATTGTACACCGACGACATCCGCAGGCGACGCGTCCCTATCGGCCGGCTCGCAGCAGGCGGAGGCGCGCGCGCCGTCGCTGGCCGCGCTGGCCGGCTCGCTGGGCGGGCACGAGGCGCCCTCGCCGGCCGCGCACCGCCTCGAGGTGACCGCCGACGTGGCCGCCTCGGACACCGCCAGCGCCGCCTCCTGGCCCGACGACCTGCCCTCCACCTCGTCGCGCTCGGCGCGCCTCCGCAGCCTCTTCCTCTACGGCTCCGCGGCGCCCCCCGACCCGGAGGCGGGCACCTGCCCCCCGCCGCCCCCCGCCGCCGACCGCGCCCCCACGCCCGACGCGTCGTAACGAACGCGGCCGACGCGCCCCCACCGCCGCCAGCGCGCGAGCGACGCCCTCATCACCTTCGAGTGACTGTCGAGTGAGTTGCGACAGTAACGGGACTGGACCGATCGCGAGCGGACTGCGCGACTCGATCGTAGTGAGTTGCAATGGTAATCGACTTTGATTTTGGAGTGGATCGCGGAACTCGATCGTATGCCGCACGAGCTCGGTGACGATCGAGTCGGTCGCGACAGTAATCTTGGTACTGTTGAATTATCACGCGTAGCTCTATTTTGGATCACACTGTTCAGATGATTTTCAACGGTTACAGAATAGCCTGATTAAACGCGAGTAAATACAGAATATTAGCAATTGATAAAAGTTGCAATGGTTAAAAGATCAATCTCGCATCGCAAAGTTCCAATGTAGTGATGTTGATAGTTTGTGTGTTTCTCTTTTGAAGGCTGTGACTGTAACAGTTTCAACTGATCTAACGCTAAGCATAACTATTAAAATAAAAATACTAAATAACTGCGATTGCAATGAAAGAACATAACAGAGAAGATTCTTCACGCTCGCATCCGTCTATTGGAAGGAACTAAGTCATAGATTATAGATAGTGAACGAATGATGCGCGTTTCGAATGAATCGAAGAGGCAACGAAAAGAGTAGAGTGACAAGGGTTCGCGTATACGTGTACAATAATCGAGCCATTACTTAAGTATTTGCGAGGTATATCGATGTTATTAATTATGAATACCGTCGTAATCGATATGTATATAAATAATCGATGTATGATCGATATGCAGTAGCGGTCATAAGACGCCCGCCTCTAGTCCCTCCACCATTCCAGAGGATGTTAAGCAGGAGACAGCTATACAAACAGACAGACTCTAGTGCCAACCGGTGTTATATGTGTACCGAGTTTATCGGATTTACTTATCAAGTTAGTTATCGAGACATGACAAGTTTATACACTCCCTGAGTTCTCCCTAAGGTAGAAGCTTCGCGCTTTCAGTGCAATGTCACTCTATCCGATATTTGTGATACTTTGAATAATAACTATCGTTATGTAACGTTTCTAAATTATTTAATTTTTTCACATTTGTAGGCGGAGTTTAATCGTAAGCTATAATATTTTATGTGAATCATATAAGTGTAAACTTTAAAATTAAAATGCGATTATGAATACAGTATCGTTTTATTTCTCCTAGTGCAATTCGCACTTTATATTTAAGTAACATTAATGCCGGACAGTTGGATTTTAATCTAATATTCTACTCGTATTACTACTTATTATTATTAAACTTAATATTATTTAAACAATACTTGACATTAATTATACGAAAATTACTCTTTTGTTTACTTTCTACCCTAAGTTATATTATTATAAATATTTACGCATATATTTTTCGTTGTTATCTGTACTTTTCTAGTTATCTATGAAAGATCGAGGTCATTGACGCGCACGTTCTTATTTGAAACGCACTGTTTGCGTTCGTATAAGATCAACATTTAATATAAATAAATTACAAAAATAGTGCACTCAAAAATATTAAATTAATAAAAGAATGTTGCCAACCCCAAGAATAGAACGAGAGAAATATATGTAAACAAGGGATTAGTGGCGCCGTTGTTTGTTATATAATATAATACAGCCTTCGGTTCTCGTACGGGACAAGTATTTGTGCGAGTCGCAGATATACTTCTGGTATATTTTATTTGTTCAATACCATTAACAACGTGATGGAATGAAATGCTGTGTCGTCTGCGGGAAAAAAGAAGAACAAATGATAGCAGTTTAAATATATTGACGACTTTATTTCTCAAAAAAAAATGTGAAAGCTGTAAAGCGAGCAAGCGGTTCACTTGATGTTAAATAAATACCGCCACCCATGGACATCTACTATATCCGATGGCTTACTGTAGCTGTTGCCTGGCCCTACCACAGTAGGAACTATTATACGAGGCGTGCATTCAAAGTTCACACGTTTTGCATACTAGTTAGAAATGAAACGCAATACAGCAAAATAATACATGTATTTAATAACAACTGACTGATTGTATCACATAAATCTTATCAATTAAGACAAATTAGTGTATATTACACAAACTATTCACACAGTGGAATAATAAACCTTACGACTAACACGTTGGAAAATAACTACAATCAAGATCTATTTAACATATATATATTTATGCATATTATATTTTGTTTAAATACTTTCCTCTATAGCAATGAATATTATAATATGATACGAACAAAGATTCCACGCGAATCTCGATGCCGTTTAAAAATATATCAAGATTCGAATAAAGGATTTTCAATAATTAAGTATGCAATTACGATAGGTACAAATGACGATTAAGAGGATGTTTCAATAATTCTGATGAAATTTTGCGGTATTAAGTCGGTAACACACGGTCCACTAACTTATCATATCGGGCATAGAATGTTTGAAATTTAATATCTAGTGTTGGGACAATACGGTTAGAAATCGGATGAACAACGAAATCAGGGCTAAACAACACAGAGGCACAGTTCATTCCAAACGTTATTAAATGCGATACGCGTGTTGTCGAATTAATCATAGGAAACACACGGTGTCGATTAATTTATCTCGAATCGATTAAATTAGCATAGGAGCACAAATCGATTAGATCAAACCACATAATTACAACAATAGAAAACATAATTCGAACTGGGGAGTAAGTATGCGCTTTTTTACACAACTTACTGGTTAACATTGGACGGTCATGTTTATCGTAACACGAAAACCGTCGACTTTTACATCGATTTTCGTTATTTCCGTATACATATTCAAAAGATGCGATAATAAAAATAGAATTATTATTTCATTACATAATCTTAAGTAATATATTAGCCCAATTTCATTGATAATTAATGTTTAAGTGAACAAAATCCACTATATTTTTTACAATTGTTACTCATGATTAGTACAGATATTTACATTATTTACATAGCTATATCAAACAAATAATTAAAATATATGTACCCTAATAGAATCACACTATAGACAAGCAAAATAAAAACAATGGTTTATACATAAAATATAATACACAAATCCGACGACATTCCCCAAATAAATCTCTTAGATCGTAATAGAATTTCAAAACAAATCAGCACACAGTCATATTTTAGTCTTTTCGAATTTTTATTGTGATCTTATACATTGTCTCCATAGTCAATACAGAAATTTCCTTACCAAGTATTTCAATGAGAAATTTTTGACAAAGGAAACGTAATCTCCATATACGGTAACAATATCTTAAAAAAATTTGAAACAGCATAGTGTAAGATTGGGAACGGAAATCATCTTCACATAACAATGGAATGTTCGCTTGCTCGAAGTTTTCATTTTTCCATTGGGTTCGAAAACGTTCTACGCCCTAATATGGTAATTTTAAGTCACCTGTAATATCTAATATATTTGTAATTGAACTGTTTTAAAGTGTAATGTAAAATAAAATGCCATTTACATAATCGTAACAATTTTAAATCGAATGACGCGTTATGGTTATATATTTTTATAATGTACTTAAATTAACATGTTAATTTTGGCGAAGCGAGACGTCCTATTAAATACAAACGCTTCGCGTCACGGCGATCGATAATATAGACTGTTCGATAAACTAGACATTATAAACATATTTTTTTTACTTCGATTCGGTGCTTGTATCAACGCATTCCATAGACAAGGGACAAGGTCATAGCAACCTTCTTAAGTCTAGCTGTAAGCGCATTTAGCCATCGAAAGTTGGAGCTTTTCTCAGTATTAAGGAGAATCGTGATTATAGTGTGTAGAATGGTGAGACTAACGGCCGGTTTCTGAAACACTGATCATCGTAGATGTCAACTAATCAGCCGTCAAATGGCTTTTCAAATGTCATTTGGGTTGCCAAAAGTATTGTTAAATTCTTGAATTGATCATTCTGATTATTAAGAAGAGCATTCTGATCAATTCAAAGAGTTTAACAATCCTTTTGGCAACTCAAACAACATTTGAAAAGCCATTTGACAGCTGATTAGTTGACATGTACGATGATCAGTGTTTCAGAAACCGGGCGTAAGTGTTGACTTGACTTTAATTACAAATAAGATCCCAGAAATCGAGTGGGCAAATCTGAACGATATTAGCAATGGCCAATAAACAAACCAATTTTGTATGGGTTGACAATGCAAACAATAATCACCAAGTCTATATAACCTACATGTAAGGTACTTACTACATATTTGATCTCAATAAATGCTACATACTTTTATTAAATATTCTCAACTCGGAGAAGCGGGTATATATGTTTTACGGTATAATAGCACATCCTAGAACGATTATATTTATGGTATATATATTTGTATTATATCTAGTAACAGACAGAATAATCCGGTCTTAATCCAAGAACCGTCCAGAGCAAACCTATTTTTCTACGATAATTGAATATTATATATTCATTCTTTCATCGTATTGTAGCCAGTTCATATTAGAAAGAATTAAGCAAAATTTTATCAAAGGAAATAATTCAGTATTGTATGTGGTTATGACTCCCTTAATCCTCCCCCTGAGTTAAGGATCCTGCCATAACGGGAACTGAAATGTTCAAATTTTCAATGCATTCCTTTTTTGATTATTTAAATTGCCATTACATTTATTGTCAATCTAAATATAGAATTCTTATTAGGTTGGATGAATATAAGCAACATATTTTAGTAATAACATGTAGATAATATGTTATGTATTATGCGCTAGCGAGAAGGAGACATTAAACCACGAATTACTTCTAATATGAAAACTGTCATATTGATCGATAAAACAGACTACAATATCAATACTTTTACTCCGTAATTCGTTATAACTGCCAATGATGAATCACACTTTTGTATTGATCGTGCAAGAACAAAAGTTTACAGCTTTTTTATTGCCTAGATACGATATTTTCATTTGTTGGTAGCGGTTTAAGTTATAACGCTAATATCGGATATTTTGTCTATGGATATTCCAAACGTTCGACGCAACTTTACAAAACATTTTTAAAACATGTAAAGAATTTTACACTATCGTAGTCATAACGTTTTACAGCCAATGACATGTTGGCACAGTGCAACACGTATACAATCTATAAAGGTCAGTCTAACAATCGACTTTATAGTACACATTAATATAATTCGGGATCGAGTAACAGCCGAAATAAATCCACTACGCAACTACGTGAAGAACTTACTAATCGGCGAACAAAACAAGCATACATACATGAAAATCCCAAATTCATATATAATTCTTAAATTCATACAAACGCTCCATACGTGACGTTTAATAAAGAACAAAATGATGGGATTAAACTGTAAAATATATTGGTATACTAATAACATTACAATTTATTGGTATAACGCCACAATAGATAAAGTACATTAACATATGCGTAAATGCAAAGGTATTATGGACTACAAATATACTATCAATAGAATTAAGTCATACAGTGACGTAAAAAATCAACACGCTATAGTGAAAATCAATAAAAATGTTATTATCGACTCTGGTGTGATAAAAAAGGGTTGAAAATTTTGCATGGACTCGACTACAAAAGGTAACGAAGAAGCTAATAGCTTGCATACAGCCTAATGGGCGCAAAGCGATTTTAAACTCTACCTATATTGCAATACAGCTGAAAATCAGCAGTATTCAATCGGTGTGCTTGTATAATCTTACGAAAGAAAGTTTCAAAAATATTGAGAGCGATTTTGAACTCTCCGCCCAACTCAATAGTAACGAAATTCATTCAAGAGATGCTTATATGCAGGCTAACGTTGAGCGCTAGCGATTTTGAACTCTGCTGACGTTACAATTCGACTCAAAACCACGTGCAACATCTCTCGTAAATTGGCAAACGGAGCCTCATAATAGATATTATCGAACCTGTTGGCGTCATAATAGAGCTGAATGTCGTACGTGGTGGAGCCAAGAAGAAAGGATTGTTATTATTGAGTACAAGACAATTCTCGTACTCAATAATAACAAAATTCTTTCTAAGAGACGACATGCGGGCTAACGTTGAGAGATAGCGATTTGGAACCCTGCGCAAGGTTACAATTAAGCCGAAAATCACTTGCAGGATCGCTCGCGAATTGGTAAGCGGAGAGAGACACATAACTGTTATTATGAACCCTGTTGGCGTCCAAATAGAGCTGAAACTCTTACGTGGTGGAGCAATCGCACCAAGTTGTCTCGTACGTTATAGTAACGAAAATCTTTCTAAGTGACGACATACCGGCTAGCGTTGAGCGCTAGCGGAGGGAGACACATAATTAGTATTATGGACCCTGTAAGGATATTAATAGAGCTGAAAATCGTACGTGGTGGAGTCGTCCCGCCAGGTACAGAGGTCGTACTCTTTGGTAACGACATGAAGGCTAACGTTGAGTGCTAGCGATTTTGAACCCTGCGCAAGTTACAATTCGGCTCATAATCACTTGCAGCATCGCTCGCGAATTGGCAAGCGTGAGGAGACACACAATTGGTATTATCGACCTTGCTGTGGTACTAATAGAGCTGAAAGTCGTACGTGGTGGAGCCGTCGCGCCAGGTCGGCTCGTCGGCTACCTTGGCGCGGCAGAGAGGGCACGTGTGCTCGCGGTCCAGCCACGCCGAGATGCAGAGCTCGCAGAATATGTGGCTGCAGCCGAGCCTCACCGGCGTGGTGTAGTCGTCGTGGCAGATGGGGCAGGAGTCGCCGGCGGAGACCAGCTGCTCGCCGGTGGGCTTTGTGCCCAGGCTCTGGGGAACGGTGGACATTGGTGCTTTTATCTGAGCTGTGGCCGCGCGACGGTTTTCTCTGTTCCACGGTTGGGGACCGTCCGGGGAAGTACCGCGAACGAGCAGAAGAGGGAAGTGGAAGCGTAACGGCCCTAACGCCCGCGCGGCTAGCCGCTCCCGCCCTACGACCGTCCTACGTGTTTTCATCGCGGCTCGCCGCCGTAGCGGTCGTAGCGGTATTGCTTTAGCATAATTCGGACACGACTCCACTTTGGTTCCCCTTATTTCACATATATATATTTAAAAAAATCGTGCAGCAAAGAAACATTTCAAACGTGTCGATTGCCGAAGATATCGACGCGGAAAATACCTCCGAATCAAACATAAACACGAATCCACTACGTGACATTGAAGACCTTGTCGCGATAGAATGCGGTCATGGACGCTCGAACCTTCATAACGACAAGCTATTGTGCATTAGGTGAATGTGTAGCCATTTCATGAATCCACATTACGTGATAGGCCAGGCCGGGTAATCGCTTTTAATTATCTATACTCGAGCAATCTGAGTTCAAATACCGCTTCTTTAAAGTGCTGACTCGTCACGTGCTCGACGATGAAGAACCATCGCGAACCTGCATTTTTACTAAATAATAATAACAAGGGCATTTCGAAGATATGTGAAGTCCGCCAATCCGCTGTGGGATCGGACTATGCCCTACTCTCTGTACAGAGGAGGCTTTTGTTCAGAAGTGCGAAGTATATAAGCTGTTTCTTTACTGTACTTTTTTCACGCAACATTGAATTTTTCTGCAGCTGAAACTACGCTTTATTGGTGCTCGGTCACAACCGATTCCCAACACCCCGAGAGCAGAAAGTCTCCCCTCGTCGAACGAGTACAACAAATAGGTAGAATTATCTGCCTAAGTTAGTATATGGCCCGTCTCGATTAGACCATGTGTCTTTAAAGCAATCATGTATGTTGTATGGGATGGGTATGGTAGTATAGCGGCAACAGAAATGCATCAATGAATGAACATTTCAATTGCCTACCTATCACGGTTCATGAGATACAGCCTGGTGACAGACAGACAGTGGTCTTAGTAATAGGGTCCCATTTCACCCTTTCGGTAGGGAGCCCTAAAAATGACGGTCTACTCACGACGCTCTGCAGCAGGGTCCACGTGGCGTTCTTGAACAGCCGTAGCCGCACCAGGACCTCGACCACCTTCGAGATCACGTACACCGACGTGAGGAACAGCCCGACCATCTTCTCGGAGCCCTCGTACGACTGCATCAGGTAGAACACCCACGGCTGTATCGTGAGCAGCGAGCGGTAGAGCTGCGAAACTGCCTCCGTGAACAGGTACACCTTGCCCTGGACAACGGGAGATGATGGTCCATACTCAGTTCACGTGTCTCACCAGTTTCCGCAACGGAACTCTTTCTTTCTTACTTTCAATATACCCACAACTACAGGGTCAACCGTATCACTACTCAATACTTGTATCACCCTTTTCTGAAATGGCACACTTTCTTTCTTTCTTCCTTTCAATACACTCACAACCACGAGATCGACCGTACCAAAGGGTTAGAAGAACCTCATTCCGAAACGATGGTAGATTTAAATAAATGAATATGTATATGTATATAAAACTTATATTTCTTATTTCGATGAATAAACTATTTAGTTTGATTTCACCCTAACATCACCCAGTACACGTGTCGTATAGTCTCACCCGTTTCTGGAATGGCAGCAGACACGCGGGCATCATGGTCACCAGTATCTTGACGTCCACCGTTATGATCTTCACGATCAGGTCGGTCAGGACCACCAGCCACAGGAGCTCCCACACGTCTATAGGGTCCGTGTACCCGGGGAACATGATCACGTTGGGCAGCAGCTTCCCGTGACCGAACAGGAAGTGCACAATCGCCACGCAGCCGCCGGTGAACACCAGCTCGCTGAACAGGGCCAGTATGTTGCGGTTCATCTGTTTGCCGTGCTCCCTGCAAAGTCACTAACACTGCAGTAGGGCTATTAAACAGCTTCCGCTGTTGCAGAAATGGGCAGGCTCATCCAGAAGACCGACGTGAAGTGGAAGTATTACACTTTCCCGTTTCGTCTGGTGAGCGAGGTATCCGGGGCCCATTTTTTCAGTTTGTCAATCAAGTATCAGTCTGACCCAAACCAATGATGGAAAGAAATAGTGAGGGGTAACCATATAAAATCATATAAATAACAATAACTTTCTTAATACATTTATAGTAACTAATGAAACAAATCATAAATTTTTAAAGTTTAGATGTATCATCTACTTTTATGGGATTACATGTTGTAAAGTTCTTATATTTTCCTTATTATCTATGGCCTGCTCTAATGTTTACCTTATGGTCTATATGTGTATATATTATACATAAACCACGATAAAGATACAGAAATAGTATGGATTACCGTTCACTCACCTTCTCACCAGGCAGTTGCCATGTGAAAATGTACAGAAGAGAATGATGAATGTAAAGATGCCCTCTCTGCTGTCATAAATGAGTTTTATGAAGAGAATAAAATAAAATGGTGCATAGCGAATCAGAAAGTGTAAAGCCGCCCTCACATCTAGTACCTGCAACAAAATGAGAAATTGATTATGGAATCGACTTTTTAAATCTGACTTATATATGATTTACTCTTTAAAGTGCTACAGAATATTTAAAGTGTACATAGTAGTGCACTTTAGATATTCACATGCTCATGACCTATATATGAAAGTCTAAAAAATCTTAAAAATTTTATTGAAACCCACATTAAAACATTAAGACATGTTTATACAGAATATAAAAAAAGCCCCACCATGTAGATAGTAAAAAATATTGCTTTAACTTTAACAAAGAGAGGTGCATGTGAAATAACAACTACTACATAACTTGATTGCAAACAAAATGATTTAAAATTAAATAAATAACAATGATTTCTTATTATATTTGTCTGGTGAGAGATAATAGGTACACCTATAAAAAAGGTGTCAAGTGTAAAATATGTTAAAGATTCTACTTATCACTTCAATAGTTGCAATATGAATCATGAGTGCTGCCTAACAATGGATGTATGAAATTATTGCATTACATAAATTCAATGTCAAGATCACACAAGTAGTGTTGAACAAAAAATGAGGTAATTTGAGGTAATGAAACCTGTAATTGTATTGATAAGTAAGATATCTAATGGCCTAGAACAATTCAGATTGCATACAAAATTCTCACCACTATAGGTGTTACCTGCTGTGCCATGTCATCACTTTGACTGTCATTATCTGTATTATCATGGACATTATTGTTGTTTGCTGGATTTACGGATGCATTAACCTCTTGGTTATCTTGGTGCTGTTCTGAAATATTGGAGTTATTTGAAGCACTCGGGCTCATTGGCTGGTTACTAGTTGGAGCCCGCTGGGCTAGCGGTGCACTTCTTTCTGTTACAACATATGTCTGAGCACCAGGACCAAGATTTATGTGGGCTATAGAACTCTGTGGTCTTTGCACCCCATCAGGTATCTGATGTGTGCCCGGTGTGTTTCTTGGTAACCACGTGGGAAGTGAAAGACGAGCATTGTTACCCTGTAACATACAATAAAATGAGTATGTTATGTTATTGTAACCAAATCAAATGAAATGTGACTAATAAAATGTTAAATTTAAGCCAATTGTTTGTTATAATTTGTTAATGTTTAGCATTTAACACAGAACTGACTTAGGATGAAAAGATATAACAGAAACTGCTTTTTTTATAAAACCAAATCATAACAAATTATATTCGGGTAGGAATCTTAACTATTCAGTATTCATTTTAACCATTATACACATCATACCATGCGGGCATGTTCCACCAATGGTCTGATTTCACGAAATACGCTGTTCAATCTATCCCCCAACCCAATATTGGTCCTTGGAGCTGCAGGTCTAGAAGTAGAATCCAATCTGTGTGTCGCATTATTACTATGGGTGTTGTCAACAGGCGGTTCATCTTCTATATCTAAATTAACTTGATTCGACTGAGATATCATGGCAAAAAAATATAAATGAAAATAAGGAAATATAACAATTAACACTTCCAAAACATTTCCAAATATTATTAAATATGATTCGAAGGTCAAGTCAATAAGTCAAGATGTTTTGTGTTTGACAGTTCTGACACTTTTTATTTCATAGTAATAGATTAGTGACGTGCCAGTCGACATATTTTATTCGAGTAACTCGAATTATATGTTCGAGTTACTAAAACGACAGGACAGAATAAACATGATTTGGCGATAGACCGTAGGAGTTTTTAAAAAATGAAGTAATGATTAGGAGCAATTTTAATAACGATTAACAAGACTCAAGTTATTTAAATGACTGCAACGTATTTCATTGGTACTTTTAATATTTTGTCATTTTAACAACAACGGCTTAACAGATTTTAGTTTTGTGCAAATTCCTTCAATTTATATAAGATGTAATTAAGTTATATTATAAGTAAAATGTTTTATTCAAGCATTTCTGAAACCAGAAAGGTATTAAACGTATTTTAGCGATGTCTTATATGAATAACGAAATTTTGAGGAAAATAACTTCGCTTATGTTATTTTCGTTGTTTTTGTTAACGATTTGTTTATATTGACGTTATGTTTGTTTAGAGACTTGTTACATATCCGTTCCCATAGAAAAGTGCAACTAAGCAGCGTCTTCTTCGCAACATCGCGACACAATCCCACGATCAAGTTTTGCTGAAACCATGTAAACGTATTACACATCCAGGTCGCGGTCACGTTCGTGGGAGCGTTGTCAGGCGACAACGCTATGCTCCACGACTTCCAATATAGCTGACGTCCATGGAAACGTTGCCAGTCGACACCGCTGCTTACCGTATTCAAGAACTTTGTTTAACGATTTATTTTAGTAAGACAGTCATTCTTGATCTAGCATCGATCGGAATAAGACTTAGGTTAGGCTAGCTATAGTTTAGTTATAAGTTTAAATTATAAGTTCTAATAAATAAGTTAAAGCAAATTGGTTTAGTTTGGTACGTAACAAATAGATTTTAAAAACTTTTTTTGCATATTATCTATTTACGAAATTAGATTAATGTAGATACTGTTACGAAACAAAAAGGGCACCATATCGTCTTGGGCCTATGCTGCCATCAAACCTAAATCCGGTACTGCGTAGACGGATTTTGCTATAGAAGGATTTCAGGTTTTCTTCGTTTTAAAATAATTTATTGGTACGTGTTGATAAAATGTAGATAATTTAAACAATTTTATATGCTTCCAAAAGGTTGTACAGTTTTTTGAAGTTTTTTTTTTAATAAAGTCATTATTAATTTTAAAGTTTTTTATAGTGCAAATGTCTGCATTTAAGATTGAACATTAAAACATGTAGAAAAAATTACGAAAAGATAGAAAGAAGGAAGGCGTTAAGATTTTCGTCGCTGTGGCTATCAGCCTTTTAGTTCAGTGGCTAGAGCGTCAGGCCGCGAATGCCGTAGACGTGGGTTCGATTCCCACAGCGGCGACAATCTTTTCGTACTTTTTTCTACATGTTTTAAAGTCATTATATTCAATTGTGTATAACATTATCTGCGACCGCTCCAATGATTCTTAGAGAAACAAAACATGTGTTTATCTTTTACGGGATAAAAAGTATCCTCGTTAAAAGCAAGCTCGTCAATTTAAACCACGGAAAATAGAAAACAGCGGAAGTGGTTCTCATAGCACCGGATCCACTGTCGCCAAACTCACACAAGTAATACTCGTGTCGTATATTGAACTACATAATTTATCTTTAATGATAAGTACTATACATTGTAAAATACACCTTAAAATCTGTCCATTAGATTTCCGCAGATCAGTTATAGCAGCATTTCCCACCGTGGAAATTCTTCGTCGTTATGTATTTTACTAAATGGTAGTGCCTAGTAATGCAATAAAAAGAGATGGCGCACATTCATATTACCTAGTCGGGTCATAAGTTCTGGCTCATGTTTATTGTGAAATAATTGACACATACATGTTTTTATAGTTTTTATTATTTTATATATCTTATGCTCATTAAGCTCATTCAGGACCATTGATCTATGGCGGCGATCGAGGTCCATATCAATATCAGCCTCTGCTTTGGGATACCTGGAGTGACTCCATATCAGGGTGAGGTTTTGAGGAGGACCTTTTCTTCAAGTATTGCCATACTTACCTATTACTGCCAATTGCGTTTATCCACTTTTTTACAAAAGTCCAAAACAATTAGAACAAAACAGTCCAACAAAAGAACAGGTTAAAACAATTGAAATAAGTATCCTTAAGATGAACGTGACATGAGATAACATTGTTTACACTTAAATTATAAATAATGTACTTTTTATTATATGTTTACTTAAGTCTATCATCAAATTGTTGTTGATATAAATACTATTTAAAGCTTCAATAACTGAATAGCAAAGAAAATTCTTACAATCAGTACTTTAGTAGCACGTTTCTTGACAAGACAAAATACTTTTTAATGTGTTTATCACAAGGTTTCCTCTTTACTGTAGTGCAAATAAAATTTTAGGTTTTCGTAAAATTTATTTATTTTGTAAAATATACTAAAATAGCATTTGTTTATGCCCATTACCCGTTAACCCTTCCTTTTAAGACATTCCTTTTTGGTTACTATTTTTGCACTCATAAATTACGCAATACGACATTATAATAAGATCTATCATCAGGAGGACATGTGCGACAGCGCATGCGTCTTCAATCGCAGCAGAACTCTTGCCTTCAGTTAGTGATACTTTCGCTAAAATGGGCTTACCGGGTTACGCCCACATAGCACTTCCTGTTGTTTTCTCTATTCCGTGATTAAAACGATGAAGTTATCTTTGTCCCAAACGTAGTGATTACATTCTCTTTGATCCCATAATTTATAAATTCGGGGGGTCATGAATGGATATTTTATATGCCGATTAGCTTAGCTAAGTCGCCGCATACGTCTTTGTTCATGTGGGCTTTTTTATTTGATTGATATGTATATGTAAAAATAAAAACCAATAAATAAAAAGAATTTTTAGTCATTTTGAAAACATTAATTATGTTGCATGATAAAATTATCAAGCGTTGCGTGGAGTTCTGCGTGAACATATGCCACACGTATGTAGGTACATGAACAAATAGTTTAATAATTTTATAAATTTATCACTCGTGTAAATAAGTTGGCCGAGAGGATTTGAACCAACAACATACAGGGCATTTATTATAATACCTATTTTCATATTTTCATTTTAATACCTATTTATTAGCAACTGCACTAACGGAATAAATGAATAATTACCTAAAAGTGCTGTGGAATGAAAAACATAATTATAACAATAAAAACAACAGACATTTCCAAATAATAGAGGTATATTATTTCAAACGAAAAATCGTCAATAGACCGCAATGACTTTCTAGCATCCGTTACAATGAGCAGTTTATCACTAAAATAATGATAAAATAACACTACGGTGCGTACACGACATTGATTGAATAAAGTCAGTTCAGTCTTTAGTTAGGCGTCGCACTTCGTAGATATGGCGCGGCTGGCGAGCTTCCGACGTAATCTTTACATTTACGACTATCATTCGTAACATAACTCGACCAACGCTTACGTTTACGGAAACGTGGCGATGAAACTGGACACCAGTAATGAATTCGAACACCTGTTTCTGGCCATTTACGTTACCTGTCGAAAAAATTATAAGTAATTTCGAATCGTACTAACTTGCCATCAATCAAAGTAATCAAAAAGATTGATTAAACTTATAACTTAAACTATATGATTCCGCAACTCCATGCTCGAATATGGTGCTGTCAAACATAAGATACCATATTAACCCTGACAATGTAACCCTCAAAAACGTAGTGACGTTGCGCGCATTGGCACCGTTCAGATTCAGATTCATATCGGTATTCAGTCGGTATCGGGTTTTAGCGATAGGACGCCCTGGCCGTGTAAATCTTTCACCGCTTCCAGCAGGCGTCTTTCGGCCCTGGGTTCCCCAAGAGCTACATCCACGCTACCAGCGCACAACAAAAGCGCTCTAAGTGCCGCTCGGGGCCAGTCGGGCTTCAATCCTTTCCTGACTATGGCCCCCGATGTAGCCGCGCCCAATCTCGCGCATTCAGCCTCCAAACGATCGCCATAATCCTCTATTAGCGAATCTCCAACCGCCCGCCTCATTTCCGGCGTGAGAGACGAGAGCAGCAACAGAGCGACATCGTCCATCGGCCTGCCCAAGGAGACCATTTGCCAGTCGAGCGCTACGCATTCGCTCAAGCCATCCTTCTCCCTGAATAGGAGGTTGCCGCTCCAGAAGTCGGCGTGGGCTAGCGGGGCTGGCTCCGCCGGTCTGAGTAACGTTCCTAGGAGGGACGGTGCTCGGGCACTTAGGGCGGACACTGCAGCGGCCTCCTCGATGCAGTCAGTGCGCCCCCGCAGGAATGCCTCAAGCTGGGGCAGCCCGCGTCGCACTAGGCGCAAGTAGCCGGCCGCGGCGCGTTCGCAGGGGAAGAGAAAGTCGAATCTCTGGTCGAGCGGGCCCTCCCGCTCTCGCAGTGCCAGGGACAAAGCGTGCAGCCTCGCCGCTGCGTACAGCGCCGCTCTCGCGCGCTCCACAGTCAGCCCTTCGGCGAAATCCGCCGAATCGAAGCCGATGGAAGTGACATCTTCGAGAACCAGCTCGCTATCGCCACCGATTTCGTCTGTAGGATTAAAATAAAGGTTATAGGTTATAAGTTAAAATAAGGTTAGGTATACTATAGCACCCCAAAACGTGAGGAAAAGTCGTTATGTGCCTCAGAACCATTAACCAATATTTACGAAAAAATTATAACTCAGTTAATCGAAACAATAATTTAAAATAAAAATTCAAGTACCAGCCTAATAATGTAATCATGTCTGACACCTGAACTTCTTTATAAAGTCCTCTGTATTTGGACATAGTATACAGACCACATGACTCCCACCACCACGTAGATTAACAGATTTGACGTTTATTTTATAACCATAGTTTTTTGAAGTATTTTTTAAATATGTGTTTTTTTTAGGATTTCTTATGATTTTATATTGATATGATTGAATTTGATATTGATTTCCTTTAACGCTTGGTAAATCACCGATTATAATTACAATATATAATAATTTTGGTGCTGGCTTCGTGGTTTGAGCCAGGCATAAGGGCATGATACTAGTAGCTCTGTGTCCGGGCGCTAAATTCAATATACTCTAACCAATTTGAGTTAGATTCCCGATGCCGGCACCAATGAAATTGTTAATTTTAAGTGCAGACTTATCACGTGCTCAGCGGTGAAGGAAAACATCGTGAGTACACCTGCATGTTCTTCGAAATAATAACAAAAAAAAATAATTTGAAGATAATATGTGAAGTCCGCCAATCCACAGTGAGGGTGGACTATGCCCTGAAACCCTCTGTATAGAGGAAGCCTTTGCACAGCAGTGGAACAACCGTGGTAGCTCATGTGTAAAAAAGTAAAGTATCTTTATTTTTATATTTAAGTTACTTTATTTTGTTACACATGAGCTACCACGGTTCTAAAACTTGCATATTATGTATAGGCATAGGTATATAGACCATTTCGATATCAAATAACTTGTTTGGCTGGTAATAAATTTGTTACCCTTTTCAATTCGAAAAAACAATAACTGCATATAAACTTTCTTTTGTTTCGGGCTGCATAGAAACTCAGTCATAATTCAGAAGGCATTTGTAAGGGACTGGTGACCGTAAATCTAGGCCGACCGACTTTAAAAGCTAAACGAGGGCGCTTTGAGTAAGAAAAATATGGCGAGCTTAAAAGCCGGTATACATTTCGTTTTTATTTCACACTTTGTAAGTTTTGCACCAGCTATTCGAAATGTCTATACTTACAACAGTTTTACAATGAATTCCTAAACATATTCTATCGTTGCTTTTAGTTAACTTACTGCTTAAAATGTATTTTTAAGTTCGTTGTTATTTTAACTTAAAAAAAAAATGTGATTATGTAGCGAAGAACAACAACCATTTTAAAAATGGATTTTTTTCGTGTTTTTAATATTTAAAGGTAAACATAAACAATTTTCACACATAAACAAATTCCACTTTATATGAGTTAGGTACTACGTATAAGCACAGAAAATTTCCACATTTTTATTTTACCGTCGCATTAATATAACGAGAATAATCTGAATAATGAAACGGAAATCCATTGTTCCGTAGTTGAGTACTTTTCGACGCTTTTAACGATGATCGTTAACGATTCGTTTAAAACTGTCAAGACTTTTTTTTTACATTTAAATGTTCTTATTTCTCTTAAATGTTATTTTTATCGCACACTTTTAAGTCTTCTTAATATTTATACCCTTCCATGTCGAACAAACAATAATCAAGATTATTTGACAATTAATAATAAACAATGATTTTCAGGACTGTGACATCACTGTAAGTAAGTCCTAATCGGTCTCATATTTTATATAAGTTCTGTTTCATAAGTTTTGTTGCAAAAGAACAAAAATAAAAAAAATTAAAACGTGACATTGGTCAAAGTAAGAGTACAAATGTTACAGTACTAAGGCAGACGCGAGGACGTCGTTTCTTAGTTTTTTTTAAATTAGTTACAGCCGTGATAGTTCTTTGTGTGGGCGCTCGCTTTTAAATCGTACCCGGCCAATGAATTTATTAATTTTAAGTACTGACTTATTTGCTGACGGGCTTGGCATTGAAGGAAAAATCGTGAGGAAACCTGCATATTTTCGAAATATAACAAAAAAAAGATATGTGTAGTCTGCCAATCCGCAGTGGGGCCGCGTAATGGACTATGCCCTAACTGTACGGAAGATGCCTTTGCCCAGCAGTGGGACATTTATAGGCTGTTACTTCACTCTTACCCTTATAGGCGTCAAAGGTTTTTCGTGTATTAGTCATAAACTTACTTATGTCACCTACCCGAAACTTAATGCAAGGATGTAATGAAATTATGTTAGGTTGGGTGATATTATGTTATTAAGCCGTGATAACTCATTGTTCAGGCGCTCGCCTTTAATTGAATATACTCGAGCAACCTGAGTTCGATCCCCGGTGCAGGCACCAATGAAATAGTTAATTTCAAGTGCTGAATTATCACGTGCTCAGTGGTGAAGGAAAACATCGTGAGGAATCCTGCATATTTATTGCTAGTAATAATTAAAAAAAATATTTCGAAGATATGTGAAGGCCGCCAATCCACAGTGGGGCCGCGTGGTGGACTTTGCCCTGATACTCTCTGTACAGAGGAGGCCTTTGCCCAACAGTGGGACATGTATAGGCCGATACTTTACTTTACTTTTTTTATTTAAACCTACACCTTATTAAGTATATAACTGAGGAATATCACAATAACGTACAACCATATTCCAGAACCAACTTTAGGAATCCTTGAAACAATTTACATAATAAATATTAGCATGGTAACCATTAGAAATATTTAATATTTAATTTCCGATAATACTTTTTCCTAAAATACATACGACATTAAAATTGTTGCCATACATCTCATTGATGCCGACCTTGGCGCTCAGACGAAAATAGTCTTCAACCAAAAATTCAATCGTCCGTGACAAAATTCACTAAAAATAACATTGAATGTCATGTAGCAATAATGCCTTAATATTGGTATTAGTTTCAATTGCCTGAAATTTAATTGTAAGTTTACAACACTTGGCGTCTCATAACATTTAGTGTCTTTATGTGTATACCTTGCAGTGTCTTTAAGAGAAATAACGGATATAAAAGAGTGATAGGATTAAATATTGCCATCACTAGATACCATCAGGTGGGATTATTGTCAAATGCTTAAACTTGTGGAACGTTTGTGTGTAAAAGGTTATTATTGAAATGATAACACACTCTGGAAATTAATTGATCGCTCCAGGCTCTTTCTAGTGGAATTTTATATATTGTGCACATTTTTGTTATTTTTTGTCAAATCATGTTTAAAAAAAATGTCCCGCTGACTTTCTTTCGCCGGTTCTTCTCAGGTCAGTGGCATTTTTTCCGAATCGGTAGTAGAGTTTTATGACAATGAATAAGTAAGTGGAATACTTCTATATTGAATAAAAATATTTGAATTTAAACCAACTCTGACAAAAAAATTATCAGTTTAACGTGACATACCTGGTGAAATAAACAACTATAAACATATTTCTTAACAGATATAAACAAATCCCTAACTCAGTGTCCGAGTGCTTGCTTTATATTCAAGAAATTTTTCAATTTCAGTTTTAAGTGCTGATATTTATGATATGTGCTCATTGGTGTAGGAAAATATTTTAAGGAACCTGTATCAGTATTTCGAAATAATATTTAAAAAACACTATTTCGAAGATATGGGAAGTCTACAATTCCACGTTGGGATCGCGTGGTGAACTAGGCCTAATACTAATACTTCCATAGCTCTTATATGGAGGAGGTCTTTGGCCAGCGGTGGGACATATAGAGACTGCCACTTTACTTACCCGGTAATCTCGCCTTAACGCATTTAGGTATTGGCAGACCCTCGCCTGGACCGAAATACTCCGCCGCCAACCGGTTCAGGACTGGCGCAAGCTCGGTGTAGAAGAGTATCTCTCGGGTGTCAAACTGCGCCTCGGCCACGAACAGCCTCCCGAAGGGATCCCGTGGTGGTAGCTTCACGACGAGGGGCAAAGCCACTCGCTCGCCGTCGCTCTCGTAACGGACCGTGACCGCGAGCACCCTGCTCAGAGCTCCGGCAACGCCCGCACGGGACTCCACGCGGACCTGCAGTTTTGCAACGATCGAACGTTATTTTTGTTCAAAAACCAAAATATACTTCGATATAGCAAACAAGAAAACTTTAAAGGAAAGAGAACTATAAAAATCACAAAGATCCGACACAGAACACCCCGACTCCATGTGGTCTTGTGGTTCCTACTCCTAGAGTTATTTTTTGTTTGCTATACCCAAGTAGCCTGTTAAAATTTTACCAAAAAAATTCTTGACACGGCATGCATAGCACAATAAAAAGTTAAAACTTGGAAAATTACTAGATACTCGATTAAAAAAAATGTATGTTCTAAGCTATTATGTTAGGTTTATGTATTGAAAATAGTTGGATGCATAAAAACATGACAAACAACACTTAATATTTAAAATTGATTTGAATACTTTGAAAAAAGTGTCACTGGCATCGTACGGTCGTTTAATACGGTTTACTCATTCAACCAATTTATAGAGCAAAACACTTAAGACACAAAATTGACCTCAATTAATTTCTTAAATTCTTCTACCGACAGATTGATATCAGCCAGATATGCATTGTAAATAGTTCGGGTTACCGAGTGGATTTAAGTTTTACAGTAATGAAATTCCTTTACCTCTTGAGGGCAGACCACGCCCGCCCCGATTAGCAGCTCCCTTGCCCATTCTTCGGTGAGAGCGGTGTCGGCGTCGGCTTCCGGACACGGCTCACAGTCAGACTCTTCGCTTCCACTGCTCGGGGCCTCGGAAATTGCTGCACTGTCCGGCCCCCCGGCCTGCATCTTACGCACTACGTTTGCCTCACCCGCTCAGCGTGAAATTTAAAAATTATCGCACATCTTTGGCGCGAAAGGTGTAATGATTATGACGTAAAAACGGCCGACGTCATTTTAGCGTTCTTTAGACCTAGGGTCGCGTTAAAGTACCGTAAGATGCATTAAGGCCATCCCCGCCTTTCCAGTCGCGCATGCGTCGTCCCTCCCTCTATTATTCATCGGAACTCCCGTGACGTGTCGCCCGGCGTTCAATGTGAATATGATTGCTTCGCGTGTGTATCTGGCCACGCCATTCCCTACCTATAAAAAACTAGTTTAGAAGAAAGTGAACGCCATTTGTGTTCAAGTATGTATAATATATGTATATTTACGTTCTTATTATAACAGAATTATAATAAGAACGTAAATATACATATATTTACGTTCTTATTATAACATAAATGCTTAAAAATTTGTTACTGTATCCTTAATAATTTCGCGAGTCATGGATATTTTAATTTAAGGTAAGGCCAGACATACAGTTAGTCGAGTTGTATGTATGATGATGTTTAAACTAAACGAGATAGTTTATTTCAATCTCCAATTCGATAATTTTTTTTTCATCGAAAATACAATCTTTATTGAACTAATATTTACAAGATCTAAAATTACATATTATCTAATAAACCTAATCCACGCGGCATGGTCCCAAGAACGCTAGCTGCATTTCCTCGCTGAATAGTTATGCTTAACCTTTGAGCGAGAAAAGAACCAGCTCTCTTGTCACCATTGGACTTGTTGGTAGGACATAAACTGTATGTGGAAGCCGCGGCGTTAAGCCTAGGACATAAACTTTTAAAAAAATTTGATGTGCGGGGACCCCACGGACCTAATGTTTCAACAGCAAATGGCACAAATACATAATCTAAACATACATAAGACAATACATAAGACTCATATTTGCGCCATTTACTTACTTCAGCTGCCTCCGATGCCGCCTCGGCCCTGACCGAAGTACCCCTTAGATGAGAGGCAGCCAAAGTGTCTACACAAGTGGCGTCCCAAACAAGGGCTTTGCCTATCTCCCAAGGGATCAATGTTAAACTGTCGGGTCTCTTTACATCGTCGCGAAAAATGCCACAGGGCTCTGAAATAGATGGAACATTGATGGAAACAAGAGCCCTACGGATGATGTCGTTCAGGGAACAGTGGCGGGAAAAACGGCCGGCACTTTTTTGACAAGAAAGCCCGTGGAGACCAAATTTGTCTACACTGACACCACAAGGGCATTGGTGTGGTTGACAAATCGGTGCCCCCAGACGGATTCCTACAGCAATGCGTAAGCTTTCATCATCAAGTAATGTGCCCAAGTTACTTGATGGTAAAGCGTGAAGCCAATAACTCGATTCTTTAGATGAGACGCCTAGGAAACGGGCACGCTCTAAATTACTTTCTAAAGATTGAAACGTATCTCTCTGTATTCTCCGCACCAAAGGAACATCCCACTGTTTTTGTAGGTTTACTTCCAGTGGGATATTTTCGTTGGGGCAGATAGACAGCCAAGACATCCTTGCCTCCTCTGCATAGGAAAGTTCTGAATCGTGATTAAGGATGTTATTACATAAATTATTTACGCTATGCACGGAAGCAAGGAAGGCAGGTAGTGCGACACTAGAAATTTTCCTTACACCGATACCACCAAAACGAATTGGCAGCGTAGCTTGAGTCCAGCTTAATTCATTAAGTGATAAATTTAGAATTTTTTCTAGAGCTGATTTAAGATGGAAATCAATTTCGTTCAATAAGTCACTGCATTTCCAAACTGGACTCGAGCGAAGGAGGTACGTAAATTTAGGTACAAAAAATACAATGTCGCAAAATAGTAAGCGCAATATGCGAATTTAATAAAAACAATTTATTAACATGATTTAAAAATTGATTTAACTTTAATTTTAAATGAGGTTCCAAACTTGGTATCAACAAAGGAGCACCTAAAAGGTAAAGTAAACGGACTACGTTAATTCCCGGTATGATAGAGCTAAAATTTTGAGTCAAAATGATTTTGTCGGAAAAAGAAATCTTTTCGGAAAAGAAAAGTTCGCATTTGGAATTATTTAAATCGAGACCGATATTTTTAAATTGTCTAATAATTTCGATAAGATCACTAAATTCGATAAATTCAAAAATATTATGTTAAGACGAAAAAAACAAAACTAAATAATTATTATGAAACTAACTCTTAAATTTTAGATATAATACAGCTAACATGGTTATTTTATTTTAAAGAAAATATTTATGTTCTCAATATACACTATACTTACACCCATAAGTATAGTGTGACCTTAGCTATGCTATAAATTTAATCTTATCCTTATATATAATTGAAATCTCGGAAACGGCTCCAGCGATTTTCATGAAATTTAGTATGTGCGTAGATTCGGGGGCGAAAAATCGATCTTTATTTTTAGAAAATGTCATTTTATCCCAGTTTTCAGGGAATGAAAAATATTATTCGAATACGACGGTAAATTTCACCGAAAAAAAAATGATATAATAGTTCGGTCGGTAATCGGGCGGCCGCTAACAAACAGCCACGAAACAGAAGGCCGTGGTTCGGATCACGATCATTTACACACTTATTTTTTTACTTTTTTTTCGATTCCAGATCATTGCTTTCTTTATCTTTTATTTTTTGTCGATTTGTTATTTTGTTATTTTTTTACCTTTTTTTTTAAAGTTCTTTCTTTTGTGAAAAACACCAGTTCATATTTTCTTATTATTACGTCGGTAAGATCGAAACATATTATGCATATTTCATTACTTAGTAATTTGTATCTAAATGTAATTTCCACGATTTACCAAAAAACAAAAACAAACCGAGCAAAGCTCGGTCCTCCAGGTACGTATGTATTAATTAATATAATCAATTGACGGAGATACCTAATTCTATCAAATTATGGTTTTCGTTGAAGTTGTTCAACTGTTGATCTTTCTGTTTACCTTTCTAAAAGCTTATCTAAGAGCTTATGAAATTGACGTCACTAGTTCTCAACACGGTGAACGGTGGTATACTCCAAGGCTGCGTGCTAACCTGTTCACTGTTCTTTTCGCGACGCACACCCTTTACTAATATTTTATACAGGAGGATTTTTAGACGCAGTACATACTTTGACATAATGTTAATTGAGCATTCCATAAGTCAAAAAAAAAATATTAATATTTTATTTGGCAGACACTTATTTTAGCGCTTACGAAATATGAAAAACGTTTACCGCATTAGTGGATTAAACTGTAATTCGAAATTAACTATAGTTAACGTATGCAATGAATCGTCCAAACCCTGGAGTTATTTTTTAAAATTAAAAATAACGTTAGTTGTAGTTAGAGTTGAGGACAAACACTTAGAGCACCCGAGCAACAACACCACATAACGAAACGGTGTCAGGTCGGACCTGGTGGTCAGTAAGCGCGCAGCATGCAAGACGTGCTTAGTACGCAGACGGCATATCTAGATAGCGGAAAATGAGCAATCGAAATGTGTGTTAAAAATATATTTAAATAATAGATAAAATGCATGTAAAGTTTCATAACTTTATTATTATATCTTAACTGGGTTTCATAACCCAACTGAGATATAATAAATATCATCATATCTAGAAGTAGAATGGAACCCGTACAGCATCGGCGCCGCACAATAATTACTATTTTAAGCGTTATAGGCCATCAGTGTTCTTTAAGTTCGGAATAAGATAAAAGTCCAGCATCATCATCATTAGTCTTTGTTAGCCCACTGCTGAACATCCTCTTCTGGTAAATTTCAAACGACTCCGACTTGCGTATCAGTTTTCAGTTGCTACCAGCAATCATAGGCAAGTTGTCGCTTCACATGGCTAAACGGCGCCTTACACTATATTGCATAAGCGTGGTCTCCAGTAAAGAACTTGTATGACCAGCCCACCGCCGCTAAAGCTTACTTAACGAGCTATGGTGATATCTTATTTGCAATTTTTTTTCTATTATTAGTCTTAACAGGCTTGTGACGTTTTCACAGGTCATTATTTTTCATGTCCGCTGCATAATGATTTCATAATCAATGACCAATTTCTTAGTACGGAATCCGTTGCAAATTTGAAACCAAAGAAAAGGAAAGAACAAATAAAAATATTATTTAGTGCAAGACTTCATGGGTTCCATTTATTTTGTGTAGATAAGTTAACATTTACGCACCAAATAAATAATGTAACTTTGAAAATAATAATGTCCTGATAGAAAGATGATGATATTTCTATGTTGTCTTTTATAGTTTTCCCAATACTTTCTTAATAATAAACTGACAACACCGGCTAACCAGACTAACTTACGAAATAACGATTTAAAAAATCAAGTTTTCTTAAATTAATGATGGTTAGATACCGTAGGTATATCGGCGCACGGGTATCGTAAGTATTTAGACGATCGCGCCACAGCTCTGACGTAAGCAGTCGTGGGGGTAAATCCCCCATCGTTTCACTTTCTGGTATAAAACAACTCCCTCGGCGGTCGACCGGGCGTAATAATAATACGCTGAGGTTCAGGCTAGGCGCCTCGTGCGCCAGGCCACGTCAAGCTCGTCGGAACTGTAAAGGCCCCTAAGGCCAACAGTGGCTCATCCAGCCCAAAAAAAAGGTCGTGTCCTTTATTGTGTGACTCTAGTAGTTTGTGTGTAGTAGTGTTTTTTTCAGTTCTTTTTTTTTTTAATTATTATACTTTTCTATTACTAATTAATTCGTTTTGTACCGCAGTTGTTCTAATTAGTCAATCACAATAAAGGTAATCATGTGTAATAATGGTGGTTTTATGTCATATGTTCCCCCTCATCTTACAGGTATACAAAACTTATCGATGAAAATTGTGTTATTGTACGGATTTCACAGCACAAACCGGCATAATTAATTACTTTTCGTGAGCACGTTAACCATAAGTGATTGAAATTACACTGACATAGGAGAGAAACGAGCCTACCAATTTTAGTAGACTTTATTGGCGCTGTTTGTTAAGGTTAAATATGTCATCTTGACAAATATACCAAAGACTAAATCAAGGATTGGAAGGCCAGGCAGTTGGTTGTTGTGATCCTTTGATTATATACTTGTCATAATAACAGTATATAATCAAAGTATAAAACCTAGTTATTATGTTTTATTAAGCAAAAAATTACATACGAGAATAAGAATGATTGTGAATAAAAATCTTCCATAATAAAAAAGATTGTATATTATGAACATTAAAAAGAATATTTATTTATTAATGTTATAGATATTCATGCAAATCACCAATATCAAAGCAGAGTGGCGTTGAAATGAATAATACCAATTTAATTTTTTTTTATGCGAAAAGTTGTTAAACCAGCAGACGGTTCACCTGATGTTAAGTGAACACCGCCGCCCATGGACATCTGCCACACTTGCCATGCCGAGGGTTAGCGATGCATTGACAACCTTTTAAAATTGGGCTCCGGCTACCTCACTCACCAGACGAAACGCGAAAGTATTTGTCATACTTTCACTTTACGCTGGTGTTCTGTGAGGTCGTGGTATCTACCCGGACGGGCCTGCCCATTCGTGCAACAGCCGAGGCTGCTGCGTGGCCATACTACCGTAAAATTCCTTATTAATGTAAAGTTATAAAATGACTCTTTTGCCAGAGGCCAGAGGGTGTAGCTTCGATTCCCAATACAGGAAAAATATTGTGTGATGAACATAGTGTTTTTTATTGCCTGGGTGGTTTATTCATTTTCAAAAGTTAACTGTGTAGGTATCTGTTATCTAGTACTAACAGTACCCAAGTACAAGCTTTACTTAGTTTAAAACTAAATAACGTTCTGAAACAAATAAGTCCTGAAAATATTTGTACATATTTTTTGTACTAGCCTTAGATTAGCCTTAGATGGATATTTAAATACGAATGTTTATAATATAGTACAAAGCTTAAAATTTAAGTACAAATACTATAATAAAGTATGAAATCTAATGGTGATTGCTGCTGGCTATGAAGCTCAATCGGTTTCCACAAGAACGATTTAGAATAAATATAAATGTGCTTTAGATTATGTAGATTTTTGGTTTCATATTTATTGAAATCTATTATATTTTAGATTAGTCGGCATTCTGAAAGCTCTGTTCAGTGTTCTGTTATCAATCATTTCGTTTGTCTGTGATCGATAACATAAATTAGATGACAAAATTTATTTAAAGAATTCGTAGCGTAGCTCATAACTCAAAAATCGGAAAATAGTCAATATGGGTAAGGAAAAGTCAAAGAAACGTCGGCGGTCCTCTTCATCGCAGAGGAGTACTAATTCCAGTAGTTCTGAATCATCTCATGAAAGGAAGAAATTACGGAAATTAAAAAAGAAGTTGAAGAGAGAACAGAAAAAAACGGAAAAATTATTAAAGAAAAAACTCAAAGAAGAGAAGAGAAAATTGAAAAAAAAGCGCAGAAGCAACAGTGAAAGTCAAGAATCTCCAAAAGATGAAGCGACAGCCGATATACCTATCGGTTAGTTTTATTTCTATGTTGCAGTTATGATTTTTTTTTAATTTTTTAAATCACAGCTTACCACAATTTTACATTATTTTCTCGAATACTTAAAATATGCTACACGTTATCGCACAATGAATTTCACAAAAACAATTAAATTTTAGAACTGATGGATAAATCAAAAGCTATGGCGCCTATGACTAAAGAAGAATGGGAACAACGTCAAAGTGTGGTCAAAAGAGTGATTGATGATGAGACTGGAAGATACAGGTTATCCTATCATTCTGATGTAGTAGTAGTTAAGCACCTCATAAACACAGTGGCGGATTTGTAGTCTTGGCCACCTTAGGCCCTCATGTAGTAAGTTCCAACTGCCCCTTGCTACTGGGCACTGGCCCATAATATATCTTGTTATCATCACTGATATTTTTGTCACAATTGGCTGCCCCTAATATGAGGCCGCCCTAGGCCCGGCCCTATAGGGCCTTAGGGCAATTCTGCTACTGTTTACTTATAAACATATGTATATCGCATATTGTCTTATAAGTGATGTAATCTGAGACCCAACTTTAAGGATTACAATACAACAACATCTGCAACATCTCAGGTGCTCCAATATCTTAGTTCAGAAGTAAACAGCCACTATTATTTATGGTTTCCCTTAGTTAGAAGCAGTGTAATAATACATGTTAACAAATGGACCTACCCATTCATTAACATGTATTTCAATAAGGGAAGTATCAAACCTCATGAAGGAACAATTTGACTAAATTCTAATGCAAATATCTTTATTATATATTTACGCATTACAATTAGTGATTTACAAAAAACACAATAGTGTAATAACCGGTTCAGAAAAAAGACTACTGACCTATGACAATTATTTTAACATAATTTGACAAAAAAAAAACAGATGTTTTCAATATATTAAACTTAAAGAACCTGGAGCAGTCAATACATTTGCAGAGTGTGTTATCATTTAAATAATCACTAATACTATAATAGCCTTTAACATACAAACATTCCTTTCTTCAACTTACAATTCAACAAGCTTTTTGAATTTAGCAACTGATTAATTTTTGTTTTTTTCTGAGATGTTGTAAAAATATATACTTGTCCCTTAAAAGATTTACTCCGCAATCTAGAGGAGTGTGCAATTAATTCATTTGCAATAGTGAAAAAGAGTTGCTGAGAGGGAACAGTCAATTTTTCTATTTCTTTAAACAAATTTCTTAGTGATATGGAAATATTATACTTTTGCATTCCCTTTGGTGAGTGAGGTAAATGGGTCCTACTTTCTTATTAGATAACAACATAAGCTTACAGATGTTTCAAAGGGTAACAACACAAAACAGTTAGCACTTACATCAAGTGAATCACATTCTCACATAAAAAAATTATACTAATTTGGCTCCTATAACTATTTTTTCAACAATCAATATTGTCTCATACCTTATGCCATTTGCTTCTGATCAAAATTACTGTAAGTGTGTTCAAAAGTTTCAACTTACTCCTTCCTAAAATATTCTCTAAAAAGACATTCCATCAAGTCTTTCTTTTGTATAATATAATTTTAATTAAAGGAAGAATGGGGCCAAGCTTAGAAATAATGTACATTGCTGTCTCTCAGTGTAGTCCTGCCTTTCAGGTTAATAAAAGGAGATGGTGAGGTGTTAGAAGAGATAGTGTCACGAGATAGACACAAACAAATTAACAAGCAAGCGACACATGCTGATGGAGCCTTCTTCCAGGCGCAGACTCTTGACAAGAACAAATTGCTTTAATTGACATGTTTATATTTTATTGAAGCATAACTTAGCTGAATAAGCACAAGGTCACTAAAGGTTTTGTCAAAAGGTCAACCTGTTTTGTTACAACCTGAGGATCATTTATTGCATTTTCTAGGTGAATTGTAATTGTTGTAAGTCACTGTCACTATGTCACAATTTTTGCCAATATTATTGTATAAGGGTTGAATGTCCATTCATAGACGCTAAAGGGTTATTTTTATTTAAAAAAGCTTGTCCACTTTATCATCATGATTGTTGTCCAATGTTGTCATAGACTTCCTCCGATAACCTCACAAGGTGATCCAGTTGTGCACAGTTTTCCATGTTAATGAATGTTATTTTCCTAATTTGTTTGGCATCTAGTCCCATGCCAGAAGCTTTAGTTAATAAAATTATTGTGGTTTAAGCAATTGGGTATATAGAACAGTACATTGAGTACTTTTTCAAATTTTGTCTTGTTGGCTGTTATTTTAGTTTTATTGTTATAATTACATAGTGATAGTTATTGGTTAATAATTGAGATTTATGTCAATGTGATACAAAACTTAAGGCCAGTTGTGAAAAGATTTAGTCATAATTTTCTCATCACAATTGATCACTGTAGTTTTAAACATGCATTTTTTGGCTAAAATGTTAATTTATTTTGTGAATTTTACATTTAAATAATTCACCTATTTTCCTTTGATTAATTCATACAAATGAATTATATAAGGCATTTTGCAACACACTTAAAGCAACTAACTATATTACCATATAATCGTTTTGTAATGTAATTATTACTGTCTGTAGTCATTTTACAGTATCGTTTCGTCACTCATCACTGTAAAAAATATGACCTTAACTCATTAAAATAATATATAATTATATGACCATAATTATTAAATTAGTATAAGACTAATATTATAATTGGCATAGATGTTCTTTAAGATTAGGGAGCACTTGAAAAGGTCTTACGTCTAACAGGTAGACATCTAATGATGATTAAAATAATATAAAATCGATGTTTTGTCTAAATTATCATATTTCACTGCTATGTACTACAGGAGACATGTTTGAACTAAATCAATAGAGTTTTACATACAATGTGCTTCAACTATGTGTCCTATTTACTGTCCATCGTCAAAATGTAGATTGGTGCAATATGTCAAATATTATTTTATTTGGTTGTCTAACAGCTGTTTCATTTTCTACAAGATATCAAGACCTTGAAAAGATAAGAAGCGTTTTTGTTGCACGTATAAAATAATACCACTAGAACCTACAATTGATAATCGTGAGTCGAATCCGGCCACTAGACTATGATACCGACGACAGAAGGTTAATGTTATAAAATTCTATAGAAATATTCACCATCACAGATCTAATCGTCAATCTGACTAACGTGAAATCAGTGATAGCCTTAAATATCTTATCGATTTATCCAACAAATTGAAAGACACAGAACTGAATTGAGAAGGTTACAAAGAGCTGGCGGTTCACACTTCACCTGATATGATAACCGCCGTCCATTGACACCCATAGGGTTGCAGATGCGTTACCACCTTTTCGATGAAGCCCCATTAGCAGTGCCAGATTAACCACGCAGCAAGAGTACCAATTGCTACGGGCCCCTTGCCCCGCATTTAACCAACTCTGTCTGAGCCATAATTTTTTTGGGTGAAACTTTTTAAATAAGTAAGAGTATTGACGAGACTCCGTGGCACAGTTGCCAAGGAATTGGCTACGGCGTCGGGGGTCGTGGGTTCGATTCCCAAAGTGGACTACTATTTATGTGACATACAGATACGTGAAATTTATGTTTATAAACGTCCTTACAACACAGGATGGTATCCTAAAGTAGGGGAAATGTTTTTAAAAATAAAACAAAGTATTAAAAAGTGTTTAACCAATTTACACTTAAAAATCCATAGCAAATCTAGAGCTGTTTGAAAGATTTGCTACGGGCCCCGCGCTTGCTTAATCCGGCACTGCCCATTAGTAAGTTTCGTCGTACTTAGGAAGTATGACTTCTCACTCGCGTCGCCCTGAAGGCTGAACTGAGACGGCGTGCGTTGCCTCGACGCAACGCAGTTGTAGCAAACGCAACGCACTAATGAGGTTACACTGAAAAGTGGGCCCCGGCAACCTTACCAGACGAAACGCAAAAGTATATACCTCCACTTCACGTCGGTCTTCTGCGAGGTCGTGGTACCTACCCGGACGGACCTGCCCATTCGTGCAACAGAGAAGATTGTTACATGGCCCTACCACAGTCATACCTTCTGTAGCATTAAATATTCGCTTTCCATTGAGTTTTATTTTATAATTTAGTAACCATCTCAATCTTCTTGTATTAACTGATGTTAACGCTTTCAGTCCCGATACTATTAACGCTTCATCGAATGCAGAACGTGTGGGCTAGCTAGAACCCACGGGTCCCCGCAGAGTAAGGCCGCGCATGTACTCATGCGTGCGTAATTAGCTAAGTCTTCTCAGCCAATACATCTTGATGTACATACGTCACTCAGGTGCAAAAAGTCGTCTTACGATCGCTTTACCTCTCAGCCAGAAGGTCGTATAAAAATGAAAGGCATCGTAATTTGTTAATTTGTTTATTTCTCTACCTATAAATAATGTTATAGTTCATCTTTGGTGTACGAATTTTCTTCTTCAGCTGACATAACCGTTTCATCGATCTCCGCAGTGTCGCCATCCAGATGCTCGTTGACGAGTGTTATCAGATTGTCCAACTCGCCCATCTGATTCCCAACACTGACGATCCTCTTCTTCTTGTATAAAATGAGCGTTGGAAGGCTGTGTATCTGTGAAGAAACGGATTTGGCAATAAGAATTTTCCGACAGAAAGTCTTTTATACGTTAAGTGTCTAGTCTACCACCAGTAGCCATTAATTAAAAATTAATGTACTTCCACTCCACTGGTAACTTAGATATAATGTCACGCAATTTAACAGTTTAATTTTAAATTAGTGTTGCACAACCATCGATAGTTTGACTATCGATAGTTGACCTCGAAAACTATTCAAGATATAGATTGTACTTCCGATAACATTGTCTAAGTCAATACTACCCTTAGTATCGATGGCTCTCCAAGTGCCAATACTATTGATAACAGCAATACTATCGATAGTAATACATGCGATAGTATCGATACCATCGATTTTTTTGACAAAACTTATCGATAGCCTCGATAGGTTTGTACTATCGATAGCCAGTAAAAGGTTATTGATAGTATAAAATCATCGACAGTATCGAGTTTTTGGTAAATACTAATGGTTTTTGCAATACTATCGATATCATCGATACTATCGAATACATTACCATACTATCGATAGTATTGCTGTTATCAATAGTATTGGCACTAAGAGAGCCATCGATACTATCGGTTGTATCGACAGTATTGACACGTGACAATACTATCGATAGACTACCGATACTATTGCTTTTACCTTAACTATCGATAGATAATCGATTGTCTATCGATAGCAGACTATCGATATGCAACACTATTTTAAATATACATTAACGGGTAGTGAAATGGTTTCATGTTAATGTTAGTTTAATATTATTCGGTGTTTCAGTTGTTCGAAAACGTGTGCTAACGTATTTTAAGTGAAATAGGTTTTTGGGATATGTGGGATAGGAACAATTTGTTTTATTAACTTATAAAGGTTCTTACTTTATACAGCTCAACGATATATATATGATGACAGTGATCATAGTGACTGTTATATTTACGATAAGCTTTGAGATCCTGAGATCTCGTTGTGTTCTCTCTGTAGTCACAGCAAAAGAGCAGTTATTGTAGTCAACCGTTAGGCAACGAAAATTCAACCTGTGGCGGATTAAAACAACCGCCGCGTCTATTTACTTGTTAAAAATTATAAAATAAAAAGTGTTTCACCTTTTCCGTGTCGCATATATTCTTCGATCGCACGCAATCGACGTCGGCGATCAGAACGCGACTCTCGTTAAGAAACGTCTCGCCCAGTTGCAACCACACCGGGCTGAGCTGCATGCAATGTGCGCACCTGAGAATTACTACTATTGTTTAAAAAAACACAGCGCTCAGGGCCTCAAAAAGCGCTAAGCTACTGTTAAAAATATAATGAAATGTCGTAATAAGACATTGAAACCGAACTAGCAATTGTGCTGCCCAAAGATAAAATTCCCCAGTACTTTATGGATCATGGTCCAAAGTCAAATTTACGAGGTATTGGCTTGTGTTTGCGTAGGAGCTTTGCGTTTATAGAATCCTAAAACCTCGCGTTATTCGTGAGCGGGCTTAGAAATTTCAATCATTGTCTTCAGGAGTAAAAGATGTAAGGAGGAAATGATTGTCATCCGGTAGAGCTGAATGTTTTTGTTCATATATCTATAAAAAAAATGTATAATTTAAAATTATCATTATTCTCGCAGCTAAAAGTGAGAAAACTGAGCTGTACAAATAATGATGATGAGTACGAAATTTGAAACAAGACACACTTGGGATCAGTAACTCATTGTCATGTAATTGAATATAGAGTGTTTTCATTCAATTTCATCCTTATCATAACCACTTACGGGTAAATGTACCCACACATGTACCCCACTGTACATTTAAATGTACCACCTAAATAAAAATCCGTTAATAGTAACCAAGTTTTTCTGAATAGGTAGTAGATCACTTAGATGTTTTTCAACAGGGCAAGACCCTCGTGCCATATCTCTTCCTTTATAATATGAATTGAGGTATTACATACCATGGTGCGAAAAAGTTAACAAACACAACATCTTTTTCTAGAAATGTTTCAAAAGTCTCCTCGGTTATCCTTGCCACCGGCAGCGCTTTTGTCTTCCTCATGAACTTCTCAGGGTCGTGATTATCGGCCAAGATCATCCTCTCCACGTAAGCTTTGAGTTGTCCTAGCGTAAGAACTTCTGTCGCAGCCACCTGTAAAATCTAACAAATATAAAACACCACTTGCTTATCAAGAAATGTCAAGATCCACAAGCTGAAAATATAATAATATTATTTTTATTAAGGTCTGTGGAATAATTTAAGAAACATATCATTCTAATTTCTACTATGTTATATTTTTTTTGACACTACAATCGACAGCTACGAAAAGCATAGACAAGAAAGTAATTTTAGGTGTTGGTTTACCAGATTGTGCGAGAGCGTGTGAAGTAAAAAAAAAACCGGCCAAGTGCGATCTATACAAACGGCAAAAAAATCATGTCTGTTGTATGGCATCCCCACTTAATTTTTTCTGTTTTTAGTGTGAAAACTTCAACTGTTTAACTATCATGGTTCATTACCTCATGATGAACTTTCTCTCTCTGTCGGTCTGTCTGTCAGCCTGGTGACGACGGACAGACAGACCGACAGCGGACTCTGCTAGACCTTATTACAAAATACCCTTTGCGTTCGGAACCCTTAAATAGAAAAATATGCTTAAATCATATTAAATTTGCACTTTTGCCCAGCAACAGTAAACTAATACTACTACTATAAAATTACGATCCATACCCTATTTATTCTATTAAGAACGTGCATCTGTGTTCATATGAAAAAGCTAGAAGAAATGTTCATATGAGAATGATAGACAAAAGATCAATAGAGGAAAATTTATATTAACTTTACTTACAATCCTTCCATTAACAATCCAGATGAGATGGGGATATTGCTTGATGTCAAAATTATTGCATGTCATATCATTGTCCAAGCAATTCACTTTTCCGATTTGGATGTATTTATTATGAGCGTAGTGAACCGCTAAGTCTGCCCACACTGGCGCCAGGGACTGGAATTCAAATGATTGTTTACTAGCGTTTCGCCCGCGGCTTCGCTCGCGTTGAAGATCTTAAATAAATGTCTTTCTTTAAAAAAAAATCCAATAAAAATAGCCTATGTCCTTTCTCAGGCTCTATACTATCTGTGTACCAAATTTCATTTAAATCGGTTCAGTAGTTTAGGCGTGAAAGCAAGACAGACAGACAGAGTTAGTTTCGCATTATAATATTAGTATTGTTGATCCATTACTTTGATAGGGTCATACCAGCAATCTTTGTTGATGCACGAATGGGCAGGTCCATCCGGGGAAGTACCACGACCTCACTGAAAAACGGCGTGAACTGGTAGTATTATGTTTTTGCGTTTCGTCTGGTGAGTGAGGTAACTAGGGCGCACTTTATTGAAAGGTGGCATCGCATTTGTAATCCTACCATTTTTTTCAATATCCATCCATGGGCGACGATTATCAATGAACCACTATGTCACTTGCCATCTTCTTACATAAAGAAAAAGTTAAGACAAAACAACTGGTTTAGTTAACACACATGTTATGTTATGAGGATAAAATTTATTTAAATAAATTGGTGTACATTAAAAATAAAATAAAAATAAAAATACTTGGCCAACCAGAAAAAGGCATTTAGTAGCCGTTTGAATACATGAAACAAGTTTACGATTATTTTAATTATTTATTAGCCATTAACACCTGCATCAAGAAGTCTCCTTTTTATCGTCGACATATTGACAGGAGGCTTGGTGGCGCAGTTGTCAATCTATTAGTTACCCACAATGTAACTCACGACTCCTATTTAGCCAGCTAGGATTAGTGGGTTCGATCCCCCACAGATAATTGTTCTGTATTTTATAATGCCATCAACATACATTTACATATTGAGCAGACCGAAAATAGGTGATATAAGGGCAGGTTAAAGAAGAGAAGAAAGACAATGACACACTTATCATATCGCCATGTTGAATAATTCTGTTATTTCTGGTGCAGCTAAATATCAAACACATTTGCTTATAAAAACTATGCTTAAATATTGATTTATAAACGCCAATAATTATACCTTGTTTTTTTTTGAAATATTTTTTGGTATAGGGGTAATCCTTTCGTTTAGAGAGTGAACAAAAAACAAAAAAAAATGTTTGACTTGAGATATTTAACTATTTAGGGTGCTCTTTTTGGCTAAAAGTTATCAGATAAGTAATACAAGCTGCTAATAGCTGTTCTAAATTTTATTACCCAATAATTTCATCAAAACAAAAGCGTCACTTTTGTTTACTTTAAGTTTACCTTATATAAATGTCGACCATAACATTGTTTGGATATAATGATCATGCACTGGTAAATAACAACAAGATGTTTAGCATGACACCGGGACGCAATTCGCAGGTTCGATTCCCGCACGGGACAACTATTTGTGTGGCCCACAGATAGTTTTTAGCATCTGGGTGTTTGTCCACATGAAATTTATGTTTGTAAAACATCCTTACAACACAGCATAATGTTATCCTAAAGCAAGGGCAATGATTTTCAAAAAGAGAAAAATAAAAAAATTAATAGATACATATACTATATATATATAATATATAATAGGACCTAGTTTGATTTATGGGCTGAAAATAAATATTGTAAGGGCTGAATAGGGAGGGTGTGCATGCTCGTGTGTGTGGATGGTGTGTCTGTTTGTGTGTGAAGATGACTTTCAGTAGGCTGCCAACATTACACTTTCAGATTCATTATAAGGCTATTTTAAAATCAAAAGTCCTCCTTTAGTGAAAATTTAAAATTTTAATTTACCACAGGTACCATTATCTATACAGATAAATAAAATTGGAATGTCTGTTTGTAATATTAAAATAACCGCTTTTTACTAAATGCATATATATGTATAAACGGTACATATACCAAAAAAACATTTTTTTACAATTTTTGTCTGTCTGTCTGTTTTTTCCGGCTAATCTCTGAAACGGTTGGACTGATTTGGATGGGACTTTCACTGACAGATAGCTGATGTAATAAGTAGTAGCATAGCCTATTTTTTTGTTTTTTTTTTTACTTAAAACTCCACGCAGACGAAGTCGCACAGCTAGTACTACATATATTTATCTGTGATATTATACATACCTGTGATATTTTGCACCAAGGTGCATAAAACATAATGAAGTGTTGTCCTCTAGACACAAACTTCTCAATATTTTGATCATCCAGGTATGCCATGCCACTGTATATTTTCACTTCATCAGATTTCTTCACTTGCTTGCCCTGAAAACAAAATACACACTTGTTGTCATTTCTTTTTTAAATAAAATCTATTCAGTTTTCAGTAAACAAGTTTTACAGCTTTACCATACACATATACAGCGTGTCGTTACCATCGCGACAATAAATGAACACACGTCTAACGCTACTTGCCCATAATCATAAAAAAAATATTAACGTTCAAACAAAATCCATAATTAAAAAAAATATTTTACAAACAAACTAATTAAGTAAAAAAGAAACAAAATTTGTAACATCCTATACAACTCGCGCCACAGCGTCGCATTACAAGCCTCTCCTTCTAACAGAATGTTTTGTCTCTTTTAAATTCATTCAACCCATTCATATGCTTTGTGACCTTTACAAACGAACTTTACGTTACGCTTTTATACGTAAGGGTGTTTTAAATTTTTTTGTTTTGGAAAATTTTATAACTATGTTAAGATTGATGTTTAAAGAATTTAAATGTTTAATACAAGTTTAAAAAGGTATCCCCTATATGTGTGTTCATTTATTGTCGCGATGGTAACGACACGCTGTATATTAATACATTATAAATTTTACATATACATTATAAATCATTGACAACATTATACCACATCACTTAATACTCATAAGGAGTACAATTACATATTAATTACGAAATAAAAAAAATAATTTTAAGTCTGAATATAATAGCAACACATGTTAAACAAGCCAACTTAATATATAGCTTTTATCTGGGACTGTCACTTGTAAACACAATGGAACTCAATAGTTTCTGTTGTTTTAAAATGTACTTACCTCAGACTTCAAAGTAAAAACTTCGCTAAGGAACAAAGTAAGTGAGGGCAGATCCCGTGTGCCTTTGAATTCCACAGGAGAAAATGAATTCCTGTGGTAATACAGCAATGAAGGGTAGCCTAAAAATTTCATATACTATATTTATTATACACACAGCTGCTTTCATTCATTCTGGTCTTTTACTAGAACCTTTTTAATAACATTTCTTCATTAAGATAATATTGTCCCCCCTTAAAATACCAACTAGTGTCGGGAACGAATCCAACTCATAGTATGCTCAAACAATAGAAAAATTGGTACCAAAACCATAGGAACATCCATGCATTCTAATCAAACCTAAAAGCTATCGAAGTGTGACACTTCCATTTCACAGTAATCTTTGAGGCTATGGGTACTTCCCCAGACAGGCATGCTCATATATACAACAGCAGAGACAGCGAATTTACAAAAATCAGCCTCACATCTGAACTACATGTTTTGTTATAGACTCTAAAATAATCCCTTACCAAGTCTTTGCAAGTAAATGAGCAGTTTAAAAATTTAAAGCATTAACCCAACATTAGACAAATAATTTCATCTGCAATCATTATAATAAGACAAACTCATTGAAATTATTAATAAAAGTAGAATAATAAACAATAAAAGGAAAGAGAAAAAAAGGAAGAATTTACAACTATAATGTAATAATTAATTGTATAATGTATTATTGAATAAGATTCTTATAGCTTTCCAATGAGTGATACATATTTAACATTTCCTTATGTTCTAGTCTACAATATCTACATTGTTATGTTAAAGTCAATCTCAATGCTTACTATATACTTTATTCAACCTTGACATTAGCAGAACCATCAAGTCATTTATTGATGGAGCCATTAAACTAAAATTTGGATTGGAGATATAGACACCCATACCATCCTCTTCTAGCTAAGATATTCAAAAAAATAAGTAGATTAGAAAAATAGTCAGCATTTATTTAAGCGATATTAATAAATATTCTAGGTAAAATAAATAAATGCATGCATTTGTAAATACATAAATAATAATTAAAAATACTAATTTCCAAAAAATACCTGTAATATCATTGTCATGACATAGTTTAGGGTGCTTAGTGCAGTCTACTTGGGCAATGGCAAATTTAGAGCCCTTAGTGTTTACAAGTTCTGCTAATTCCGCCCAAATTGGATGGAATTCAGTGCAATGGCGGCACCTGTAAATGTTAAAGGGGCAAAATAACATGAATTTTGGTTGTAATAATGAAAGCCAAGTTTCTATAGACCAACATATCCAACCAACCACAAATAGCATATCGATTAACGAATAGTTAATGACAATGTTAGGTACTTCTACAATTAAAGGCGGTCGTCTCTATTTATTTTATATATTGCTATAAAATGTTGTATACATAAACATACTTACCAGGGTGCATAAAACATTATAAAATTTCCATCCATATCTTCAATTTGGCTTTTAAAATTATCCGGCCCATACTCGTATATAGTTCCATCTTCTGGAGTAACAAAACGGACCAAAAATATGATTTGTATAAGTAATACTGAGAGGAAATAAGTAGCCTTCATTTTAACTTTATTCCAACATAAAATAAACGAATAAGATGGTCTCTTGGGTATCTTAACATATAAAATATTTATAAAATACTATACTTTGATAAAGAATAGATCGCAGGCAAGTCGACAATCACTTGACAAATTGACACTGCAATATCTGACATCTGTCAAATAAAATAATTGTCAAGACCTTTAAAGTACCTACTGCCAATAAAATCGGTTAAGGTTAAAATGAATCGATAAACATTATCGGTTTTAAACTTTATAATAACTAAGGAAATTTTTTTAAGAAATTTTAAAAGTTAATGTCCTAGGCTTAACGCCGAGGCTGGTGACGATAGATAAGTAATTATTCAGCGAGGAAATGCAGCTAGCGTTCTTGTAGCGTTTATTAGATAATATGTAATTTTAGATAGATTTAATCTTGTAAATATTAGATTAATAAAATGAATATTAACACTAAGGAAAACTTAAAATAAATTTTAAAAACCAATTATATACAAGAAATGTTTAAATATAAACCTAAAATTGAGGTTAATATTTACCGTTGTTAAACATAGAAACAGATTAATTAAAACGTATAATTTTTATATTCACTAAAAACCTCAAATCTTTTGATAATTCGTATGAAAAGTAATCTAATGGCAAAAGAAATATTTTTACGGTGTAACATTAGTCCATTATAAGTTGAATATGAAAATAGGAAAATTGAATCATTGTTATTTTAAAAAATATGACTTCTTCAGTACGAAATTGTACGTAATGCATAACTTTCATGTTATATACTTTAAATATTAGGAACTAAAATATTACGTCTAACGGATTAAATCTTCATTCGGATTAGTTCCTTTAGACTTAATATTTCTGTTTGCTCATTTAAATATTCTCTATAGCATTGGTGTGCACACAATGGATATTTAAAATCAAAATTCATAGTTGGATTTTTAAGACGGCTCAAAAATATGAATCGTAAATGTCATTTTAGCATAGCTTTTACGAACACACTAAAGAATGTGGTAATTCTTCAAAATGGTCGCTTTGTATGGTTTGCCAACTTGCATGTCTGTGTTTTAGAGTCCTTTGTTTTCATAAATCGTTCGATTTATCGCATTATTTCTACGAACATACGTTTTGGTTGTTATTATTTTGTGTGCGCATGAGCATTGAGTTTGCATTAATAAATTGTGGTGTGTAAGAACGATGTCATCGGTAATGTGAGAGCACTCGACTATCATTTTTATTTTACGAGATTATGACGTCTAAGACTCTCATTCGGAGTTGCTGGGAATAAAACAATATCAGGTAACTTACTTGTCTCTTCGTATACCTTTAATTCATCTTTTTCTAGACGATGTATGTTAAACAAAGCCGACTCTAATTTTGGCATTCCTCAGCTCTATGACAGATTTGATTCGTGTTGAGCATTCTTTAGTTTGCTATTAGTATCTGCAGTTTAGCCTTTTAAATTATAAAATGATCAAGTTAATTTCATAATTAATTTTGTAAATTAATTAACCTTTTTTTAACAATATTGAATTGTAGATTGTAATAACAACAGTCAGCTCTGTATTACTAGAATTTACATCGTGTGATTTGTAATCACAATATATTTCCTATCCAAACCAGTGACGTATTGTTTTGTTTTGTTTTCAGTGGTATATAAAATAATTTTTGTGAATTCAAAAATATAAAATGTTATACGGTTATTGAGGGAAGATCACAGTGTGTGCGAGTTTTGATCAGTTTGGGACGAAACTTTCAAAATAAGAATAGAACCATAAACACAAATGCGAATTGTAACAGCTGATAAGTGCAGTTGGAGGGGTGTGCTTATGTGATGGGAGGGGTGGGGTGAGAGCTCGGCGCTCGGGCGCTGCGCCATGAACCCGCCGGCGCCCGGCAAGACGGCCACGCGCTCCTCCGGATACCACCAGAAGGCGCTCGCCGAAATCCGCAACTCGTTGCTCCCGTTTGCAAATATTGGGAACTCGGAACCACCTGGCTCCTCAGCTGCGAGCACCGTTAGCTCTGGTGTCAGTTCCGGATTCAGCTCATCATCTGGTAATGGGCTGGATAAAGATTTGAACGTGCTACCGCAGTCACTCAATCAGCTGATAGCTCTTGGATATGAGGAGGTGAGATGACCATAATATAAATTTTAATGACTAAGATTTTACTTTTGAATAAAATTATTTATTATTTTATCATTGGGCTTTGTTAGAGATATTTCATCTACTAAATTTAAATATACAGTGTGTCATTACCACAGTGACAATAAATAAACACACATATAGAGGATAACTTTTTAAAATTGTATTAAACATTTACATTCTTTAAACATCAATATTTACCGAGTTATTAAATTTTCCAAAACAAGCAATTTTAGAACACCCTTACGTATAAAACTGTAATGTAAAGTTCATTTGTAAAGGTCACAAAGCATATGAATGGGTTGAATGAGTTTAAAAGAGACAAAACATATTGTTAGAAGGAGAGGCTTGTAATACGACGCTGTGGCGCGAGTTGTATAGGATATTAAAAATTTTGTTTCTTTTTTACTTAATTAGTTTGTTTGAAAAATATTTTTTTTTAATTATGGATTTTGTTTAATGTTAATATTTTTTTATGATTATTGGCAAGTAGCGCTAGACATGTGTTCATTTATTGTCGCGTTAATTTTTTTAGAAGAGTTACTTCTCAGATGTACTATTTGTTGATAATATATAAAATTGTCACAATGCCTTGCTCTATATAGTTTATTTATGTACTTACTATGTTTACATTTCTTTAAAGGAGGAGACATTGTTGTTTATGCATTAAATATGTTAATGAGAAATATTTCAGTAAAAATTTAATATAAACGATATCAATGCAACAGTATTTATGTATCTATTTAACAATACATAATTCTTAGATTTGTCTCCACATTTTGTAAAATTTATGTATAGTTCAGACCTATATGTGACAGAATATGTTATGCAAAGCAAAAGTTTACAACAGCAGATTAATGCCTACCTAATTAAACAAATAACTTGAACATAATGTTATGTATTAGAGAATAAATTAACATAAGTAAAACATAAAAAGTAAGTCATGGAAGTTTATAGCTGTTTGAAAAGATTTTACAGCCATTTAAAATGATTCTTATTTGATATGGCATGTTTCAAATACTGTCTTAAATATAAATTAAAGCAAAGTAATGCAGCGTAACCATTTCTGACTTCTGGGCAAAGGCAACATCAGCTGTAGGTCATTAGTAATATCTGTTCTGAATACCTCCAGGTTATTAAAGCATGTTGTACTACACAAACCTGGTTATCTGATTTTACACATATCAATTTTTTTCCCCCGAGCTGAGTATGTGATTATTTAGCACTTACTATTGATGCCGTTTAGCTCAGGTTGCTCATTTATACCAAATTAAAAGCAAGCACCCGGATACTGTGCGATCATGGCTCTAATTAATAAATGTAAGTGCCTAAATAATTGTTTGTTAATTTATATAATATAAATATTTCTTGCATTTTTAATCGCTTCAATTTGTACACATAGTCAATGCTACCTTATTTCACTGAGTGAATTTAAGTGTTAGTGTATCCTGAAAACATCAAATTTAAATGAAGGAGGAAACTAAAAGTGCATGCTCACCTCAGATTGAAAATTCAATGTCCTAAACACTAGGTCAATTACTACATACAAGAGTCTAATATAAATTCTTGATATATGCACATATTTGAATAAGTAATATTTTTTACAACTTTTCATTGTGACATAATCTAATATGGATGAAAGAGTGGCATTAGTGTATCATATGAAATGTTATTTTGTTATGCTGTGTTTGTAGTCTTAAACAGTTGACACATGTTATGTAATAAGTCGACAGTAGAAAACATAAAACATTTATACAAAAAGTATACTTCGTTTTAATGATAATTTTTTCAATTTTTATATCATGTTTGAGGGGGTTCATCAGTATGGAACTAGACGCAGGAATAAGGTATAAAATCTTGATAGATGAAATGGGTTTTGAGGGATTTAAATTGTTACTATTATAAAACTACATTAATAAATGTACTGGGTAAAAGGTGAAGGTTTCAACAACTTTTCATTTTAATTTTTCTTTCTTATTATCAGCAACTACCAGTTGTCAAAAATCAATATCAATTTAATTTCTATTGAATAACTCAATTTTATTAATGTTTTTTAATAAATGAACATTATGATTATTTTATGTGAGAATGTGGCAAATGAGCTGGAAATTCACTTGATGTTAAGTGGTGTACAATTGTAACATCTGTAAGGTTGCAGGTTCATTGCCACCTTTTAACAAAGTGGGATCCAGCTACATCACTCACCAGAAGAAACACAGAAGTATAAGACTTCCACTTCACCTGTCCATTCATGCAACAGCGAAGATTGCTGAGTGGCCCTACCACCCACAGCATGTGAATCATGTTGTTAAAGGCCAACAACAAAGACCTGGAATAATAATCAGTGGGTGACACATATTTGTAACTAAATCCACGACTCCCGATGCTGAAGAATATTGCTTATAAATCGCGCCACTGAATCACCAAACAAATAAACAACAACTGACCAAATTTATAAATATACTAATTTTTTTACAGGATCCAGCTGTCAAAGCCCTTAAATATGCCGGAGGCCGCTTTGATGCTGCACTCGACTACCTGTCGAAGCAGCAAGAACCTCTCAATGGAGTTCTCAAGTCGAGCAACTTTAGCACGAAGTTGATAAGAAAGCCGAGCTTGGAAAGGGAGCTAAACCTTCACAGGGGCAGCCCGGCGCTCGACTCGGGCGCTGGTAGCTCGAGGTCGGACAGTCCCCGGCAGTCAGACGCGCCGCCGCTGCCCCACGAGAAGCTGAGCAGACAGTACTCGCCGTCCGGTTTCTCGGAGCCCCCACCGCCGCCGCCGCCGAGATGCCCCTCAACGCCGCCGGTGCCCCCCTCGGTCCAGCAGCTCATGAAGCGGATGTCGCCGGCGCCGCCGCTGCCGCCCGCGAGGGGCACCAGCCCCGTCGCCACCGGGGCCCCCACGCCCCCGGCGCGGCAGCCCATGATAGTGCAAAACGGACCCCAAGTACAACAGCAGCTGAGCCAGCAGATACAAGCGCTGAGCATATACCAGCCGGGCTCCGCCGGCGCGGAGCTCCCGCCCCCCTACCCCCTCTCCAGCGTCCCCCCGCCGCCTTCGTACTCGGTCTCCATGCAAAACCGCCAAAGCCCCACCCAGTCACAGGACTACAGGAAGAGTCCCTCGTCGGGGATCTACTCGGGCGGCACCTCCGCGGGCTCGCCGAGCCCGATCACGGTCACGCAGTCGACCGGCTCGTCGACCGGCATGACTCGACCCACGCCTATCCAGCCGTGGACAGCGAGACAAGCGGTCCAACCGCCGATCATAATGCAGTCCGTGAAGAGTACGCAGGTCCAGAAGCCGATACTGCAGACCGCCATTGCGCCCGTAGCCCCACCGCCCGTCGCGAGCTCCGTGGTCCAGCCGCCGCCGCCCTCCTACGCGAGCTCGATCCAGCAGAAGCAACAGGCCCAGACGCCGCCCAGTTACCCACTCGCACCGAAACCCTCGTCGCCGGGGTCAACGCCCCCCGTCATAGCGACGGCGACGACGCCCACCGTTCCCACCACTGAGCCCCCTAGTTACGCCATCACCATGCAAGCCCTCGCCGTCCAAAGGGGCATGCACCCCATACCGCCGCCGCCGTACGGCAACCAAAACGACAACACGACCACGGTAAACTCGCACCACTCCCCCCTGCACAAAAAGTTCCCTAACAACTGCGACATCAAGGGTGAGCCGTCTCAGGGCCCCATGGAGATGAAGTGCCCCAATCAAAACTGCAGTCTGCTGAAGGAAAGTGCTCCGTCAAGCTCTGACAAGAGCTCGAACGGATCAACGGAACGCCGGCCCAAAGGTTTGCCCGAAAAGATCAGGCACCAGTCTCCCATCCCCGAGCGCAAGCACATCAGCAAAGAGAAGGAGGACGAGAGGAGAGACTGCAAAGTGAGGAACTACTCGCCGCAGGCGTTCAAATTCTTCATGGAGCAGCACGTCGAGAACATTCTCAAGTCGTACAAACAGAGAACGTACCGTCGGATGCAGCTCGAGAAGGAAATGATGAAGATCGGCCTCAGCGCGGAGGCGCAATGTCAAATGAGGAAGATGCTGTCACAGAAGGAGTCAAACTACATCAGGCTGAAGCGGGCGAAGATGGATAAGTCAATGTTTACTAAGATTAAGCCGATCGGCGTCGGCGCGTTTGGTGAGGTGACGCTGGTCAGGAAGATTGATACTAGTCATCTGTATGCCATGAAGACGCTGAGGAAGGCGGACGTGCTGAAGCGAAACCAGGTGGCCCACGTGAAGGCCGAGAGGGACATCCTGGCCGAAGCGGACAACGAGTGGGTGGTGAAGCTGTATTACAGTTTCCAGGACAAGGACAACCTGTACTTCGTCATGGACTACATACCGGGCGGCGACCTAATGTCGCTGCTGATCAAGCTGGGCATATTCGAGGAGAACCTCGCGAGGTTCTACATCGCGGAGCTGACGTGCGCGGTGGAGAGCGTCCACAAGATGGGCTTCATCCACAGGGACATCAAGCCGGACAACATCCTGATAGACCGCGACGGTCACATAAAGCTGACCGACTTCGGCCTTTGCACCGGCTTCAGGTGGACGCATAACTCGAAGTACTATCAAAGGAATGGTGAGTTTGTAATTGTATATAACACTAGCTCTTCCATGCGCCGTGATAGCTCAGTGTCCGGGCGCTCGCCTTTAATTCATTAACTCGAGCAACCTGAGTTCGATCCCCGGTGCCGGACCAATGAAGTTTTTAACTTTAAGTGCTGACTTATCACGTGCTCCGCGGTGAAGGAAAACATCGTGAGGAAACCTGCATATTTTCGAAATAATAACAAAAAAATATATTTCGAAGATATGTGAAGTCCGCGAATCCGCAGTGGGGCCGCGTGGTGGACTATGCCCTGATACCCTCTGTATAGAGGAGGCCTTTGCCCAGCAGTGGGACATGTATAGGCTGTTACTTTACTTTTTACTTTACTTCCATGCGATTTCTTCCACAAGAAATATTTCTGCTTGGCCTCCATAAATCATAGCGTGATGTTATACCCTATAACCTTTCCCAAGAAATGGGCTATCAAATGCAAAAAGATTTTTTCAACTCCAAATGGTAGTTCCAGTGATGAGGGCCTTCACACAAACAAACTCTTTGGCTTTATTATTATATATAGGGTAGCATATGTATAGCATAAGTTTAAGCCTTTAAAAGACTTAAACTTATGCTTTTTTGAATTTTAAAAGCTTAAGCTGATCAAAAAGTTTTTTAAAATCAACTAGTAGTTGCCTTCAGGTTAAAATTTGACCAAAGTCATTTTGCTCTCAATGTCAATCCGAAATTTTCAAATTCATAGGCGAGAAACTCTAACAACAGACTATTACCACTAAATATTATAAACAATAAATAATTGATTAGGTGTTTAATTTTTTTTTATTTTAGTCTAAAATAAATAAAATAAGTTGTGAAAAAAATTGAGAAGGTTAACAAAAAATAATTGCAAATCTTTTAGAGAAATAATAATGTTTCAGAAACACTATCTCTATCTTCTCACCTCTTCTCTATCTCATCTTCTCATCACATATTCTAACTTCCCCATGTGCGAAATATTCTCTAAAATCGATCCTAAGTTTACACTGCGTATATGAGCATATCATATAGATCCAAACACAAGGTGCTCAAGAAAGCGTGTACGCAAACCGTTCACGACCGTTGGCTAATCGCGTGCGCGGTCCAATTTCCAGACCACGGGCGGCAGGACTCCATGGACCCCGTAGACGGGGAGTGGGGCGCGATGGGCGAGTGCCGCTGCCACCAGCTCAAGCCGCTGGAGAGGCGGCGCAAGCGGGAGCACCAGCGGTGCCTGGCCCACTCGCTGGTCGGCACGCCCAACTACATCGCCCCCGAGGTGCTGCAGAGGACCGGGTACACGCAGCTCTGCGACTGGTGGTCGGTCGGCGTGATACTGTACGAGATGCTGGTCGGCTCGCCGCCGTTCCTCGCCTCCACGCCCGCCGAGACCCAACTGAAGGTGTGTGCCGTTTGTGTCTCCCGTTGTGGGGTTCCGTACCCAAATGGGTAAAACGGGACTAAGACCCCGCCGTCTGTCCATACGTCCGTCCTTCATCTGTCGCCAGGCTGTATCTCATGGACCGTGATAGTTAGACAATTGAAATTTTCACAGCTGTATTACTTTTCGTTCTCCGCTATGAAGTACTGAACCTGTTTTATTTTATAAATAGGTGACGTTTTCTTTTTTTTATTTAATTCAGTTAACACACAAAGGGCAGAACATCGTTGCATTCGAAAGTAAGCCTTCAACTGATCACTTTGAATTTGACTGTAGAATAAATTTTTTCGCGATAAAAATGTAAATTTTTTACAAAAAACTTAGGATCCTAAAATAGCCGCCCGTTGCTACATGTGGGGGAGTAACACAGTGACATATAAACTTTCAATAAAAATATGTACTTTATACAAAACTATATGTACTTTATACAAAACTTTTCGCCTGGTATCCTTGTTTTGCTCTGAATTCAAGCTCTTGGAAATCTAACCTATCCACAGCCAAGCTTCATTTGGCACAAAGCCTTGGCTTTTTTTTAATGATGTGTGTGTTTTCATACTACACGGTATGAAAACACACACATCATTCAAAAAAAGCAAAAAGGTGCACTCAACTTAATCATATTTTTTTCACTATTTCGTCAGTTGACAAAAATAAATTTAATTAAAATAATTGTAGAGAACAATCTTTTGGCCTGTTGTATTCTAAATGTTTAAATTTCTCGCAAATATTACAAATCATTTAAGTTAAGAAGTGACCGTTGCTTAACATAACTTTATAGTAATGTGAATTTCCGTCCCAACAAAGACCGTCAACTGGACCAAATTCCCTATCGGCAGGTGATTAACTGGGAGAGCACGCTGCACATACCGGACGCGGCGAACCTGTCTCGCGAGAGCAAGGACCTGATCCTGCAACTGTGCTCCGGGCAGGAGACGCGACTGGGGAAGGACGCGAACGAGCTGAAAAGCCACCCGTTCCTCAAGGGCATCGACTTCGAGAAGGGGCTCCGCCGCCAGGTGGCGCCCTACATCCCCCGCATCGAGTACCCGACGGACACGTCCAACTTCGACCCGATCGACCCCGAGAAGCTGCGAAACTCTGGCAGCTCCGACTCGAACAAGTCTGACAGCGAGCTGCTGGACAACGGGAAGACCTTCCACGGCTTCTTCGAGTTCACCTTCCGCCGCTTCTTCGACGACGGCTACACGAACAAAATCAACCTCGACGACGACAGCCAAGGACCCGTGTACGTCTGACATCGGACCCAGTCCTTTCAGTGTGTGCCCCTGACTCTCTCTATTACTGCTAGGTTTTTCTTTTTTTTTGTATGTAAACATAACGAAACGTAACGTATTTAAATCCCCCTAATGATAGAGCCGTATCTGTTAATAATCCCGGTGATAATGTTGTAATATTGTGTCGTTATGTATTTGTAAGGGTAATATTATTTTTCGATTGTAATATAAACATGTATAGGGATGGACGCGCAGTGCATAGCGTGGGTCAATATGGTGCTTACGCGGCCGCGGTGCGGGGTCGCGTTTTAACACTTGTTCCATTCACTGTATACTATTTTTGTAACTAGAGAAATTATTTATGAGATAAGAGCAAAAAGCATACGGAATTAGTGAATGTTCGGTCACTATATTTTCTTATGTATTTATCGTGTTAGGTCGCTTATAAATGTGTGTTTGTTTATATAATTGTAAAACGTAACTTATGAAGTCATTAACAGTTGTATTTTTTTTTTCTTTTTCGGAATTGGCGTATGTGATGTATTTGAAGTGCTTCCAATCGTGTCGGCTGGGCGTCAGCTGCTCACTTGTGTGCCTTAACTACTTCTATTAAATCAGTCCACGAGTGTAGTTTCTATATACATACGTAGATAGATTTTTGATAATTCGAGTATATCTCACAAATAGGTGCAATAGATATTTTCAACAAATATGAAATCATGAAACCACAAATGTCGAGCTTTGTTCCGCGTTGGATTTTGGAAACGTGTGAACCATCGTACAGTTTAGATCTTTATTTTCAGACCACTGGAACCAAGACCCATTTGAAACATTTAGATGAAGTATACTATTCTGTTGACTAACCTAATATTTCTAATACGTAGAGCGTTTAGTTGCATCGTCCAATCGATAGAACAGAACAAACGTTAAACCGCCATGTGTGTAGCGCCGTAACAGGATTGTGGTAATCCCCAGACGAGTTTCAACTTGTACAGTATGATATAAACGAGTCACTTCACTTAAATTATGTGTTATCAAATGTAAATTGTTTTATTCTAAAAATGAAACATGCTTATAAGAAAGTAAACGAAAATAAAACATGGGAATTTTGTTGATTTTTTTTTTGGTTTCACCGTCGTAAAAATATAAAAATGATTATATTACACAGCCAATTAATCAGCTAGAAAATTATCCTTTTTCAATTGTTAGACAAGAGAAGGAATTCCTGAACCTTCTTATTGAAGTCATCGGCGTATCGTATGTGAATATTGTGTTTGCCATCAGGGTAAAGGTGTATTCTGGAAAACAATTAATTTTGGTAAAGTCAAAGTTATTTTTAATTAGGATTAATGTTTAGATAACAGTTATAGTATCCATTAAAATTTTCACATTTCACAATGTTGCTGTGATTTTCTAAAAGACAGCCCTTTATCTCATTTAGGGTTGCTAAGCTGGGAATTTTAATTGGAGTTGTATCTTGGTTGATTTTTTACGAAATCCTAAAAGTGAAGGTCTTAAATGAATATCAATCAAGATACTTATGTTAAGAAAAGTTTTAACCAATCATTGCTTTGTATTTTAATCAAAATGATTCTATTTTCATGTAAAATAAATAGTAATACGGTTTGTTATGACATTCTAACAAACATTATTGACTATTTGGCGTTGTAATATTTAATCAAAACTCAAAGTTTTTAGGGTTTAAATTCATTAACATCGTTTTCCTAAAAAATAAATTCCCCTATATAAACTTAATTACATAAATTATTAAACTTATGTAAATTAAAATGCAAGCTTTCACAACCATTAACCATTAGTCATTATTGGGTACCAAGCTCACCCATTTACGCCTCAATGAGCTTATCTCAGTTAGTCTCAGCTCCCATTATGCCTGAGCTTAGTAGGTATTGAGCCTGTCACCTAATACTAGGTGAGATTTTGGTTATTGCTTATGAGAAACCCAAAAAAGCTTTGCCTTTTATATATGCATACCATTTGGGATTGGTCAAAACTGATAATTTATTGGAGGCTTCGCTAGATTGATTCTTTTCTACATTGTTAGTCATTTTTATATAAATAGTATTGTATATTCAATAATAGTTTTAATTATATAATAGTTATTTTCGCGACGAACTTATTCAAGTCGATTATTATAACCAATTTTTTCATGTTTAAAAGTTTTTGTGGTGAGGTTTTAAATATCACAGGACAGACTAAGGTATCTAAGATCCTAATATCACTGTCAACCCTGGCTATCGTCACTTTTTATGACAGTCCAATCTATGTAGCAATTGAAATTCAAAATGTCTAGACTTGAATAGGTTATCGTATTTATGACATATTATTGAGATATTCACCTTGATCCTTCTATGTGCGTATGCAAATGTGATACATGCACATTATCCACCAAAGGATCCTTCTCACCATGCAATATAAGGGTTGGAGACTTGATTTTCTTCAGCAGCTCAGAGCAAATATTCCCATCTTTCTCTAGGAATAGGGCCTCCATGCCCTCGACCCAACTAGCCCAGTAGGTTGCAAATTTTTCTTCACCATACACATCTACCATGGGCTGTCGCATTTTACTAGACCAAGTTTTCACATCTTTTATTTCTAAAACAACGGTGTAAGATTTCGATTTACATAAAAATGTGCTCAATTCAACTACCAAGGTTTTGGGCATTAACTAGTCTTTATTCTTATGTTAATATAATTTAAGTATAAGCTGTGGTAGGTTATTATAAATTTACTAGACTCGAGCAATCTTTTCTTCTCATTTTTAGGTATAACTATTGAATAAGATAGCAAACATTCATCGTTTTCGAAATTTTTACTACATCTTGTGATTTTTTCACCCAACATTAATTTCATTAAAAAGATTGTTTATATAAAAAATGAAGCTTACTTTTATATGCTTCCAGTTCATGCGGCAAGATAAAAGAGTTGCTCCCCCATACAACAAGCTTATCTACAGCACTGGGGTATTTTGCAGCCAGGATCAAGCCTGTAATTCCACCATCGCTCCATCCCAATAATGAAATTTTAGGGATTTTCAATTGCTGAAAATTGACTATATTTAATACAGATTATTTTAAAGGTAATAATATGTAATAACTTAAAATGTGTAGATTGTCAAGAAAATGTAAACTACTAGAGTAGTTTATTATTTTATAAGTGATAAAGAAGTATTACTTTGGTATTCTATAGACACAAAATGATAAAATAATATTAAAATGTTTAACAGTTATCACATACCTTCAGGAATTCAAATGCAACATCAGCATCTTTCTCATAGAAGTTTGCCGTAAATTCTTTTTCTGGTGGTCTACTTTTTCCATAACCAACTGGGTCCCATGCTAGAATTGTGAACTTCTCCTTATTAAGTCCCTCGATTTGAGGCTTAAAATCCGTCCATATCGTGCCTAGAGCACCCGGCATGCAAAATACATGATGTGGTCCAGTTCCCACTTTCACATAATTAATATTATGATTTCCTACTTTAACCTTTTCTTCCTGAAACAATAATTTTTTACCGTACTTCACAACTTTTTATCAGTTGATGCATTTCAGGTCCTAAAAGCTAAGAAAATTTTAAGCATATAAACCTTAGGTAAGCTTATAGTTGATAAAAAAACGCGACAAAGTCGAATGGTACGCATTTCAGCTATAGAATATAGTATTCTATTACATAAGGATATAAGCATATTATTAAATTATCACCCCTTTATTGGTAACAAAAGATTCTATTTTGACTTTGATTATTGTTACATCAGCTGATTGAATCAGTTATGCCAAAATATGTGCATTTACAGAGTAACTAATGATAGCGTGTTTAACAAAAGTGATAAGAAGTGTTATCGTATAAATGTATTTTAAATTAGCATTTCAAGTAAGTTTCCTCCTTTTTAGTGCAGGCTAATTAAAATTTTCTGATTATACTCAAAAGCATAGTAGATTTGTGAGAGCAAAATTTTTTCTGATTTGAGTAGACGGAACTATGAGAAAATCTGTTTGATATGAATTGAGAACATGTTTCCGTATGTAGATATCAATTTTATAAATTAAGCAATTAATGTATGTTTGATTTTACTTACATATTCCAACAAAATTCTTTCAATTCCAAAAGCACATTAAAGAATAGCCAGATTCATGTTAATTTCCTTGATCAACATATTTCATATTGACCGATATCGCCTGACACACACCGCTTCAAGATACGCATCCTCCAAAGAGAGGTCAAAGAGGGTATGCAGGAGTGAAGGGGGACGAAATGATACATTGAGGGATATTTAAGTCGCACACTGCCTTTTGGCAACCGATGAGAAACCTTAAATTATAGAACGCCTCGATGCCTTTTCCTTTGACGCCCGTCCTTGTCATCTATTAACGCTTGGCTAGTGGCTACTAATCGAAGACAGCATCGAGCTTTTCAATGCTCGCCTGCAGGAAAGGTCATTAACTCGGTCTAGTTAGACGTTGACGTAGTTACGCAAAATGGCCGAAAAGTGAAAAATAGATCCACAGCTCGAACACGTCTATCTATTAGGTTGTCTTTATCATGAGCCTCAATAATCATGTACCTTTATTCTCAAAAATCACCTATCGGACCTGAAAGGGAGCCGACATCATGTCGAGGATTAATTTATAAGCTACACCAACGCATCTATTTGTCAAAACATGGGCTTAAGTTTCGAGACTCGTCCACCTCCCCGGAGCCGGCACGCCCCAAGTATCTGTGTAATCCTCGGCTCCTTATATAACAGCCACATAGGACCCCTAGGTCTATGTTTTAGGACATTATACGCCGACGACATAGCCTAATACGCGACCAATCGCAACAAAAGCCTCCTGAATGATTGTGCACCCATTTCTACATAATGAGCTACAATATATTATTCTGCCCGCCTATGCAACATGAAGCGAGGTGCGGCCTTCATTTCCGACGTCCATTGACTTGAGACTTCGAAAACTGAAAGTAGTGAGAACCGCTCAGAAAAATGAGTGAATGGGGCAAGTGGGAATTTATTATGGAACTAGCGACCCGCCTCGGCTGCGCACGGGTGTAATGTATTCCTTTTGAATCACTATATCTAGTAAAAAAAACTGCATTAATATCCGTTGCGTAGTTTTAAAGATAATAGATAGATAGTAAGCATACATAGGGACTGACATACAGCGGGACGACTTTGTTTTATACTATGTAGTGAAGATAAAACGTATGATTATGAATCATAATGAATATCGCACTAAAATTTAAAAAATATACAAAAAGGAGTTTTTTATTATACCAGGATCATATAAAAATTTCAAATCTTAATTATATTGCATCATAAGAAAGGTTTATAAAATTTTCTCACTAAAATAAATTAAAGGAGGCTATAAACACATTTTTGTGATAAGGTGGCAGTGGCAGGCGACCTTCTTCTTCAGGCGTTCTTCACCCTTAAGATTCGCAAGTTTGCTGATGTCTTGCCACCTTAAAGTAAACAAAAGTGGGCTCCAACTCCAATTACCTCACTCCAGACGAAACGCTGAATAATAACGCTTCCCTGCAGGTCTTCTGTGAGGTTGTATTTTCCCTGACGAGCCTAATTATTCGTTTAACACCATAGACTGCTGTGTGCCTCTACCACAGCCCAAAACCTCCATTAACATGTATAACAGCCGCCGAGCAGGTTTTTCAGCGCAAGTTGCCACACGATCCACGTGCAGCCTTTCTTCGAAATATATGTTCTTCCCAAGAAATGCTGCTTTCTAATGAAGCTTTGCTTCACCATCCAGCACTTAGAACTTAAAATTGCAAGGTTAAACTTTATTGGTGCTAGGATTTGTTGATTTAAAAATTGGCGCCTGACACTATCTATATAATTGTTTACGTTATTTAAAAAAAAGTACCTGGAGGACCGGTTTTTTTTTTGGTAAATCGTGTATTTTGGAAATTACATTTAGATACAAATTACTGAGTAATGAAATATGCATAATATTTTTCGATCTTACCGACGTAATAATAAGAAAATATGAACTGGTGTTTTTCACAAAAGAAAGAACTTTAAAAAAAAGGAAAAAAAATAACAAATCGACAAAAAATAAAAAATAAAGAAAGCAATGATCTGGAATCACAAAAAAAGTAAAAAAATAAGTGTGTAAATGATCGTGATATGAACCGCGGCCGGTTTGTAGCCCGATTACCGACCGAGCTATTATAACATTTTTTTATGCGGCGAAATTTACCATCATATTCGAATGATATTTATCATTCCCTGAAAACAGGGATAAAAGGACATTTTCTAAAAATGAATTTTCGCCCCCAAATCTACGCCCATACTAAATTTCATGAAAATCGCTGGAGCCGTTTCCGAGATTCCGATTATATATATGTATATATAAAAGAATTGCCCGTTTAAAGGATAAGATTATATATTGCGGTTGTGTTCAGGTTTACCTCGAGCATCATTATCAATTAACCATATTTCTTATGAGAAAATCATACACACTGACAACAAAACGATAAATTATTAATAAAACAAGTTTCTTATTAAAAATTATTTTATTACCAATATCGACGCCGAAGCATCCTAGCGAGTTACAAACTAGTATTTAGTATTTAACGTTAAAAGCAAAGATACCGCACTGGTTAAATAATTTATAACACATTCTCAGTGAAATATAATATGACCATTTTTCGGCTGCGTAGGTTTTACAATGGCTATTGAAAGTATTTCACAATTTAACAATTTTATGTATGGGCTTATTTCATAAAGTAGTAAAATACTGTTTGACCTTCTTCCTAAAGCCGGAACAATTAAACATTGTAAGCATGAATTACACAAATTTAATATTTAAGTAACAGTGGAAATAATAGAAAATTGACTAATGGAGTATTATGTTAAGCTTATTAAAATCAATCGTCACTAAATTCCGGTGTAACAATTCATGTAAATGTTTGTGAAGGCCTAAAAATGTAGTTACCACCATTTTAATGGCAAAAGAATAAAGTTGCCATCTCTTCATGATCTGCGTTTTATCAGCATCAGTATTGAATATCTAAATGTATAAAGTCAATTTATACTAATTTAATCCTATTTGTATTGTATATACTTTATATTTATGGTACTAATTTCTTGTATCTTTTATTTCTTGTATATTTTGTGTATCCTTTTTAATAATCTTCTCTATCATATCCTGAAAGTATTCATAATATTATTTCATGGATAAATATAATCCAAGAAACATTTAATTTAGATGGACAATCACATAACCTTCACATGAAATTGTTTAATCCCAAGTAAAACATGGTATTAAAAAAAAAATGAAATTATTAACTAAAATCATAAACACAGGTTAAATAGTTAAGTCTTGTACAGTTTAAATTTAAGTAGTGAATAGAGAAAGTAAACATTTCACATAACATACAATGACATTCACTTAGACCTCAACCATATAAACCTTGCTTGTAGCTATTACAAAGTTTTAAAAATTTATCATACATTTCAGGAGATAAGCCAAGTATAAACATACATTAGAGAGGTGGAAGTGAAATTTTTTTTTATAACCCTCTTATAATGGTATTTTATAAATGTATTACAAAAATATGCAGTAATGGAAAAAAATATGTTATTTCTGCCACACCTTTGAGAAATTTTCTTAAAAACAATACCTGTCTTGTGTTGTTTGAAACACCTAACATTTTTCTCTATAATAACTTTATGAAACCGAAAAGTACAAATTTCTAATTAAAACACCATTTAATCAACAAAGGGTAATAATAATCATAATAAGTAAATTTTCTTCACATTAATAGGCATTGCTAAAGGTAACCCAAATTGTGTGCAGTAAAAATAAACACGTTGAACATTATAATACTTGTTATAATAGAAGGTGTGAAAAACCGGCATGTGTATAAGAAATAAAGATCAACTCATACATCGTATTCAAAAGCAACAAGCACTGTATAAACCGAACCAGTTGATTCTGGATAATCAACACAGAACAGAGACCGACACAAGGCACATCTTAGTCCAACTCCCCAGCGTTGCAGGCATCCTCGTAGCTCTTACCCTTGGGTTCAGGGTCCAGTTTGATCATATCATCAATACGTAGGATGGTGATAGCCGCCTCCGTTGCGAACTTAAGGGCCTTTATTTTTGAAATCGCTGGCTCTATTACTCCAGCTGCTAGATTGTCGCGGAGTGTGCCCTCTGTTAGATCTAGACCCACCCATTTAAGATTGGCGTGCTCTACCTTTAATAGGAAATAATGTATTTAATTTTAAAATGTAAAAATACAAAAACATTAAATTTTAGTAATTATTTGTAAATAAATTTTTATTGTCTTTTTTGGAGATTTTTTCAAACATAATTTTTTTTAAAAACTTGTTAATGACAAATATATATAATGTATATTGCATATTACTAAGGATCAGTGCAATGGTAATTTGTATTTAATAGACTGTTATTATCCACTTACCTTTGTCTGCGAAGAGTTGTGGTATGCCCTGAGCTTGGCGACAAGGTCAGTAGCGTCTCGCGCGGCGTTCACCGCCAACGTCTTCGGTATGACAAGTAAGGACTGCGCGAAAGCGGCGATAGCTAGCTGTTCGCGTGAGCTCTGTTAAAAAAAATATATTTTAGAGACCTGAACATTTGATGATTGGTTGTTTGCGCTTTTAATCCGCAGACTGTAAAAAGCAAATAACGCTTTCACATAGCCACCTTCTACTCCTATAAGTTGTGTACTACCTGACACTTTTGGGTACTAAACGCTCACCCAGTGCGGTGACTAAGTTGTCCAGTTATATAGAAAGGGCTCCTTCCAACTGCTATAAATTATGTACTGTGCATCTTGTCTTGGGCAGTTTGGGTACTAAAGGCTCACCAGTGTGGTGGCGAAGTACTCGTATGTCTAGGTATACTTCTAACTCCTATAAATTGTGTTCTGTGCGTCTTGGCTTTGGCGGTTTGGGTACCAAACACTTACCAATGTGGTGGCGAAGTTGTCCAGGTATATGGATAGGGCGGCGTCAACAGCCCCACCGCCTGGTACCACGCGCCCCGACTCCAACACACGACGCACCACGCATAGAGCGTCGTGGGCGGACCGCTCCATCTCGTCGCAGTAGGCGTCCGTCGGACCCCTCAGGATGATGGACGCGGCCGTCCGCGCAACAGGTCTGAAAATGAATGGAAATCATCTATTTTGTTGCGCTGTTCTAAAGTAATTTAAATGATAACAACAATTACTTTTATAAAATGAATCGGCTAATGTAATAACTGTGAAACAGCTTCTTGGGCAGTTGATTTGATTTACGCTTCAGATTAACTATTCGTAGTTTTATACAGGTAGGTTTGAGATCAAGATTTTGGTACATGTGGATATTTATATATGTTATAATTCATTGCATTTTCACCTGGTAACTAAACTTGGAAGGGTCTAAAACATTTGCTATATTAATAAGTATGTCTTAATTGGTTTGATTTATTATTTTCTGAATTATATTTTGTGTGCAGAAGACTCTAATTTTTGTATAAGGTACATGGTTTGAAAAAAAAAAAATGAAACAGCTTACCCTTTAATTAAGATCAGTTGATCATCACAAATCTCTTCTTGGACTACTTCTGCAGCTTCACCAATCATGCTGGGCTCAAATACTTCTTCACCTGGTAGAAGAATAATATTAATTAGTGCCATTTAAAATTTTTTTAAGAGCAAACAATGCAATTAACCCACTGCAGATTTTCTTACTTGAACAGTTACTTTTGGCTCATAGCATTTCTTGTGCCATTTTTTTATGGCACCAGCAAAGATAACCTCTTACAAACTGTATTGTTTTTGTGATTATTGTACTCACCCTCCATGTTTGTCAGAGAAGTAAGGTATGTTGCGCCGGTGGCTTTCGCGATCCTCTTCAGGTCGGCCTTCTTGCACCTCCTGACGCCCATAGCGCCGGCCTCAACGAAGTATTTAAGGCAGAGGTCATCAATACCGCCGGTGCAAAGGATGACGTTGACGCCTGTGCTCAGGATCTTGTTCAAACGCTCTTTGGTGATGTCCAGTTCGCGGGCGCGTATCGCGTCCAGCTTCTCTGGATCTGTGACTAGGACCTGGAATGGTTTTTAATAGAGTGTCAAAACAAGTATTAAGTGATCAACGTTGTTCGATTTATAGAGAAACAAAATTTGATATTTTTCTCAATGTGAAAAGTCAGCAAGCGAGCAGGCTGTTTACATATTAAGTGATTACTGCCACCCACTGACAGATTGCAGATGCGATGCCAACCATTAATAAAGTGGGCCCCAGTTACCTCACTCATCAGTCGAAATGCAAGAGTATATATTTCCAGTTGACATTGGTTTTATGTGAGGCTGTCATACTTCCCCAGACTAGTCTGCCTATAGATATATTAGCAGAAGATGTTTGAAATGCAATTTTTATTGCATGTTTCAGAGAATCAAATGCCAAAATGTTTTCTTGTTAACAGAAATTATACTCCTAGATTGTACATAAATAACAGCCATGTATTTTGTTCAAGTACAAATTGAAATTGATTAGATGCATATGCATTTCTTCCTTCAACCTAAAGTGCCATATTAAAACAGCTGGCACTGGCAATGGAGTCTGTGCAACTTCACCGTATCGCTTCCCTGTGATTTTATCTCTTAAAAAAGGAAAAAAAGGACTACGAGTAGAAGACTACTATATATAGTGATCATTCGCTCACCTGAACTCCAAGCTTCATCTTGGTCTTCTGCAGTGAGAAATCGAGACAGGCAATTTTGGCGTTGGTGATTTTCTTGGGCATGGCCTGGGACGCGACTGTGCAGTTCAGGGCGTACCCTTTCACGAGGATACTCTCCCGGGCGCTGCGGCCGTGGGCCTTGAGAATATTGACCGCTTTAATGGGATATAGAACGTTGCCCCTTGCGTCGGTCGTCTTGATCGCTTGTGCCGCGTCGACCACCATCTCAGAGAAGAAGTCGGCATCACTGTTTGGGTTTCATATTAAGGAGATTTCATGCAGATATTATTAATATTACAGTCAAATAAAGTTATTTCTCTTATTCATATATATATGTGTATAATATGTGTTATTACTGATACACACACACACACACACAAGCGTGCTAGCACAATAGACACAAACATCTCTAACTATCTAACCAGTCAATTGTTTTTAAAAGGATACGCTCCAATCAGTTTAGATGACATTGAAGTCTTGGCAATGTTGATGATGGAAGCCCTGCCAAGCGACTCCACATTGACAGTGAGGTTATCCTGAATGTACTTGACAGCTTCTTTGCAAGCAAGTCTGTAGCCTGAGATTACACTAGTAGGATGAATTTTGTTCTTCACCAGTTCATCGGCATTCTGGAAGGAAATGAAGACTATTGCTTTTATGTTGACACCAATGAATAAAAAGAAAATTCTTGAAGGTGACTTTACGTTAAACAGTTCTAAAACGACCCTCTTGTGTCAATTAGATTCTTATTAATAAATCTTTAAAGATTGACTTTTTATATTAACAAATTTAATGACTGTTAATTGCTAATTGACATCTTTAACTGCAGCTACAATTGTTACAGCAATAGCATATTATTTTACAGCAATAGTATATTATTTTAGAGCTGAAACTTAGCTATTGATTTAAATGAATACTTATAGATTTGGATTTTAATTATGAAATACGACAGTTCTTTTGTACCTTAAGTAGCTCAGCAGCAATAATGACTACAGTGGTAGTGCCATCACCAACTTCCTCATCTTGCAGTTGGGCTAGTTCTACCAATACTTTTGCGGCTGGATGCTCAACTTCCAACATTCTGAAACAGCTCATTATTTTAAGCTTATACATGATTAATTTATATATATATACTTAGTCTTCTAAGGATATATTAAATGTCTAAATCTTTGTATTTTGAAGTGTAAAAACATCCTAACACTATTTAGTTTTTTCCCTCATACTTTATCAAATAAGACAAAGTATGATGGAAAAAACTTACGATAGTAAGAAGTGACATAGGTTTAGGTGGCAATGATACAGTTAACATTCTACTCATAGGGTAAATTTGACACCATTTTTCCAAACTTGTTTTATATTAATACAGCTACAAAGAAGGAGAACCTTTATGTCCTAAATTTGACAAGAAAATAATCAAGTCCAAGTACAGGGTGTCTAGCTGTTTCATGAAGAATGAAAAAGATGAGTGGAATCAAACTATAATATTATTACTGTCCACACTGCTAAATATAAGCCATTGTTCGGGTATAATGTAAGCTTTAGATTACAAAAATGATGTAAGACCTGGTAAGTAGTTTGTTCGATGTGAAAGAAGACTGTGCTTATTTCAGTATAGTTTTTATTTCAGTGAAATTCAAAACAAAGACAAGATCTCAGAATCTCTTTTTTTTTTAGTACCGTAAGATCTCTTTTGTGCACTCAGCTGCTTTTTAACTTAAACAAGTCTAAGATAACTCACTTTAATATAGTAGCACCATCATTTGTGACTGTCACATCACCAATATCATCCACCAACATTTTGTCAAGTCCCACAGGCCCAAGAGAGCTCTTCACAATATTAGCAATAGTGGCTGCAGCCATAACTAAAACATTTCAATTGTTATTAAATAATGCATATTTTCAATAAACAGTGAAACATTTACAAAAGCATAATTAGACTAATCAAAGTTGTGGTTACAGTGGCTTTAAACTTAGGATCAGCTGAAATTATATTTTCAGTTTGATAGTAATACTACTACTGTTCTGTATGAGAAATATTAGCTAAAAAACAGAAAGTCTGGACTATGACAAATATTGTCATAGAATGCTCAACTGTACCTCAGACTTGATAAACCAAATCTATACAAAGGAATATCAATCCAATATAAATACATTTGAATAGAAAAAATGGAATATAAATCTGTACCTCAGACTTGATAAACCAAATCTATACAAAGGAATATCAATCCAATATAAATACATTTGAATAGAAAAAATGGAACATAAATAGTTTGGTTACAAATAATAGAAAGTTGAAGAAGTAGTATCTGAATACAACTTCTTGTGGAATGCAGAAAAACTCATTAGTTGAGCGATAGGTTACTTATAAATCAAACTAATTTTTACGGATTTATCGCGTTTATTGTTAATTTTCATTCCAGACGTTTCGAACCCTTTACAGTTCATGGTTACGGGCCAGACCGAAAATTTGTTTCATTTATAATGTGTTATCGCGTAAATACAAGATAGGTTATTTCTTTTGTAATTATAAAATATTTAAATTAAACAATAACTTTGTAATTGATTTCGAATATTTACGCTATTATCAAGTAAGAAATGCAAAAATGCTACTCTTAAATGATGATTTGGAGGAATTGTTGCAATTGTTACGACCATAAGCGGTAGTGCATGTGATCTACCGGGAACAACCTCATGTGGGTTTAAAAATATCTGTAACTACCATTTTGAGTCCTGACAGGTGCTCCAGAGGATCTGGTCCCTGCTACGGACAACGGTGCAGCGAGTGTAGACATTTTTTTAAAAAAGTTTAACACAAAATTCACTTAAAATCGCTCGTCACACTTTTGATTCTGGAAGATTGAGGAAAGTTGCCGTATGTAAAAAAAAGATGACAAATAAAGTGTTTATTGCCAGTAACTTTTTATTTCTAAACAGATGAATTAATTTTACCACACCATTAATTTAGCGATTTGGAGAAGAACAATGAAGCTACAACGGCCATATAATGACGTGAAGAATTAAGACGAGACAAGGAATGTCAGCTAAAAGATTGGCCTCAACAAGAGCCTCCTAGATGAAGTTTGGAAAAACTGTTTAATCATAATTAATAGAGGTTCGTGAATTAATAATGTTTAAATTGCTACAGATACCGATAGTTTGCAGGTAAAACTTTACAATGAAATTTATGATACGGGAAAGACCCCGAACGACTGGCTTCAATCCTCCTTTCTCCCAAGTCCAAAAAAGGCTAATGCAAAGAGTTGCAGTAGTCATTGAATTGCTAAAAATATATCAAACACGCAATTTGGTTTTCGCAATGAATTAGGAACAAGATAGGCTCTTGTCACCATACAAGCATTAAGACAGAAGTGTCTAGAATTTAACAAAGATGTGTATGAATGCTTTATAGATTTTCAAAAAAGCTTTTGATAACATTGAATACTGAAAATTGATGCAAATTTTAAAGAGAACCGAGGTAGATAGTAAAGATATCAAATTATAGATAAACAATTTGTATTGGAATCAGTCTGCACATATTAAAATAGGAGATCACATAACGGGGAACTTACAAATTCCCAAATTCCAAATGGGGTAAGACAGTGATGTATTCTTTCACCATTACTGTTCAATCTTTACTCAGAAAACATTTTTCATAAAGCTTTTGATCGAATAGAAACAGGCATTAAAGTAAACGGTACCATAATAAATAATCTGAGATATGCTGATGACACCGTTCTTCTGGCACATTCACTGAAGACCCGCAGTATCTTCTTGATCGAATGAACACAAAAATATTAGATTATGGTCTAAAAATGTCTCAATGAAATATCGAAAACCAAATACACGATCTTTAGCAAGAATGAGATGGTGCCAGATCATAGCAGACTAAACCATCGAAGATGTTCAAAAATACAGACATTTGGGATACTGGCTGAACGAAGACACCATTTCCTTAAAAAGGAAATCCATACGAGAATAGAAATCGCCAGGAGCACCTTCATGAAAATGAAGACACTTTACAATAACAAAGACATCACACTAAAACTCAGATGGAGAATGGTGAAGTGTTACGTTTTGTCAGTGTTTTTGTATGGGGTCGAGGGTTTGACGCTAAACAAAAGTACCGAATCAAAATTTTACGCTTTAGAAATGAGGCTGTATAGAGGCACGTTGAAGTACTTAATAGAATGAAAAACAGCTTGAAATGTTGGAAACTATTAAAAAACGTAAAACCACATATTTTGGACATATATAAAGACATAAGAAATATAGCATACAGAAAAATATAATTGATGGAAAAATCGAAGAAAAACAGAGAAGAGGACGAAGACAATTAACATGGAGTGAAAATTTGAAAAAATGGACAGATATCAAGGACGCCGTCAGTATTTTTAAATTGGCGCAGATTAGAGAAGAGTTACTTGTGGTGGTCGCCGACATCCGATAGGATATGACACCCCCAAGAAGAAGAAGAAGAAGAAGTAATAAGGTCAAATAGGGACTTGACCGCAAGACATAACGCATGAACATTTAAGTGAAAGCACGATTTGTGAAAACAATTGATTTAAAAAAAAGTTTATGAAGGTAAAAAAAGTAAAGTACAGTGAAATAAGGCACACTGCGTGAAAAGACTTCTTCTGCACAGACGCACAGGCTCATGATGTGTTCCTTCGCCAATAAGCGCTTGATAATTCTCCACTTAAAATTAAAAATCTTTACATTAACAAAATTAAAATTAATAATTATCAAATTGTATGTATCGGGATTTGAATTCAGGATGCTCGTGTCAGTTGAATTAAAAGCGATTGCCCGAACATTGATCTATCACGAGTTGCGAAGATAAGAAGTCACATGTTAATTAAGTAACTAGCCTGCGCACTATATCCGAGTATTTCGTGTGTAGGCTAATTACTTAATTAACGTGTATAATATACCCACATTTTGGAAATAAAGTTGTAGCTAGGTTGTGAAGCTAATCGTATTTTTTAGTTATTTCTGATAGTGCTAGTTGAGACTTGAGTCGACTGCGTCAAAAAGAAATGAAGATTGTTTGGTTAGGAGATCACATTATGGTTTGATTGTTATTTATGACAAAAAGTATAACTTTAAATAAATAATTGGATTTTTCCCAACAATATTATCAATATAATAAAGATAACTGCGGTAGTGTTGGTAATTGTAGTGGCAAGTAGCCAAATAAATACATATCACCTCATTGCATCCTAAATTTGGTTCCTAAGGTGGGTTAAGTTAACTTCCTAGTATTCCCCGATAATAACTGAAAATAAACTAATAGGGTGACTATAATTCTTTATTAATATCGCAGTCCACAACTTGCCTCTGAAGTAACCTAATAGGTATCCAGCCACCATTCAGATTTTTTCATCGCCGATTCTCATTCATCCCAAATGGTGACAAATAGCCTACGTTATGAAGTAATGGATCAATTTTAACAAGTTTCGAAATGACATACTTCGCAAGACAAAAAAATAAACATCCCTACAAAATGCGTGTAGGGATGTTTATTTTATGCTACAAATGTCTATCAGCGATAAAACAGTTTTTATGATAAATCTAATTTTTAGTTTCATAATAAAAAGGTATATTTTGTACATCGGTACGGCCCTCTAAGTATGGTAGAGGCCGTAGTTAGCGATCGCTCTACGTAAGTTTTGGCTAGCCTACGGCTTTTCGTTTGATGAACATTTAATAGTTCTTAAGAGAATCTTCGTACACCCCGTAAGTGAACACTTCATTAATAGATAATTATTATACAGCGTGTCGTTACCATCGCGACAATAAATGAACACACATATAGGGGATAAGTTTTTAAAGTTGTATTAAACATTTAAATTCTTTAAACATCAATATTTACAGAGTTATTAAATTTTCCGAAACAAAGAATTTTAGAACATCCTTAACTATAAAAACGTAACGTAAAGTTCATTTGTAAAGGTCACAAAGCATATGAATGGGTTGAATGAATTTAAAAAGAGACAAAACATACTGTTAGAAGGAGAGGCTTGTAATGCGACGCTGTGGCGCGAGTTGTATAGGATGTTAAAAATTTTGTTTCTTTTTTACTTAATTAGTTTGTTTGAAAAATATTTTTTTTAATTATGGATTTTGTTTAACGTTAATATTTTTTATGATTATTGGTACGTAGCGTTAGACGTGTGTTCTTTTATTGTCGCGATGGTAACGACACGCTGTACGTAATAAAAATTATAAATTATAATATTTTTTTTAGTTTTAGTGGATTCATGACGAAAATTAAACACATAATAATTTATGTTACAAAAACAGGTTTTGCTATATCAATATCGTTGCTTTTTCAAAACTTTACATTCATTGGAACGAGTGAACATGATGAACTTAACAAATAATTGGGATGTCTACGATTAGGATTTCTACTGTTTAGAAGATTTATGACGTGGAAATTATTATATAAAATTATTTTAGATATTTTATCGAGTTTATTGTTTTTTTAATTCCATATCATATTTAATAATCACGAGTCAGAAAGTGTTATTAAACAATGTGTACTTTGATCGTATTGAAAGTTTATTGATTTTGATAGATAAGACCAGAAATTATATTTATGTTACATTTATTGTTTTTCGAAGTAAATGTTTTCAGTATTTATATATTTTTGCTACACACACGGTTCCACATTGTGTGAAGGCAAAGGTTGTGGCCTGGCTACACCAGTAAAAATATATCTTAAGGGGATGATGTTTAGGTTTTCAAGCCATTCCTACGTGAAATGAATGAAATGCGTTGTCGTCCATCACTGATTAATTTTAGCAGCAATAGAGCGAGGCCTGTAGTTCAGCACAGATAACCTTATCATCCTATCATCTGATGTAAGTGAATACCGCCGCCCATGGACATCTGTTACACCCAAGGGTTCCAGATGCGTTGATAACCTATTGAAAATTGGGCTTCGGCCACCTCACTCACCAGACGAAACGCGAAAGTAATAGGCTGGCCAAAAAGTTTCTTCGCATTGTATATGAAAAAAAAAAACATTTTTAATAAAGTTTATTTACATTTAAATAAAGTATGTAGGTGCCACTTTGTTCGATAGCTTTCTGCCATCTTGTAGGTAGGGACATGATCCCATTGCTATAGAAATTCTGCGGCTTCTGATCAAAAAACCTCGACAAGTGGTTTTGGCAGTCCTCTCGTTATGTTCACCTGACACTACCTAAAGATTTCTGAAGAGACCGAAACAAGTGGAAATCTGAAGGTGCAAGGTCAGGACTATACGGCGGATGCATTAACACCTCCCAGCCAATCTCTCGTAATTTTTGCTCAGTGGCTAAAGATGTGTGAGGTCTAGCGTTATCAAGATAAAAAACCACACCTCTTCTGTTGATTAATTCCTTTTATTTTTATGTGAAAAGTTGCCAAACGAGCAGACGGTTCACCTGATGGTAAGTAAATACCGCCGCCTATGGACATCTGCTACACCCGAGGGTTACAGATGCGTTGACAACCTTTTGAAAATTGGGCTCCGGCTACCTCATGGACCAGACGAAACGCGAAAGTATTTGTCATACTTCCACTTTACGCTAGTCTTCTGTGAGGTCGTGGTACTTACCTGGACGGGCCTGCCCATTCGTGCAACAGCCGAGGCTGCTGCGTGGCCATACCACCATAAGCGTGGCCCTACCACCATAGATTCCGGCCGCTTTCTCTCAACTTCTTGCTGTAATGTCATCATTTGTTCGCAGTAGAGTTCAGAATCGATGGTCCTGCCTGGCGGTAACAGCTGATAATGAATATCCCTTCCAATCCCACTATACACACAGTATTACCTTGTTGCGAGATAACCCGGGTTTCGCCAGAGTCTGTGGAGCCTGACCAGCCTTTGATCATGACCTTTTTCGTACGTTCTTGTCGTACGTGATCCACTTTTCATCACCAGTTATCATATTTTTCAAAAATGGTTCGGTTTTATTACGTCGTAATAAAGAATCACAAATGAGTACACGGTTTATTAGGTTTCTTCCGGTTAGCTCATGAGGCACCCAAGTGTTGAGCTTTTTGTGTACCCAGCTTTTTTCAAATGCGCCAAAACTGTTTTGTGGTCAATTCCCAGTTCTTCAGCTATATCGCAAATACTGATATGCCGATCTTGCTCCACTTTTTCAAAAATGGCATCCATTTTATCCGTAACAGCGCCCAGAGCTAGGTGCATCTTTGACACCAGTTATCATATTTTTTAAAAATGATTCGGTTTCATTACGTCGTAATAAGGAATCATAAATGAGTACACGGTTCATTAGGTTTCTTTCGGTTAGTTCATGAGGCACCCAAATATTGAGCTTTTTGTGTACCCAAGCTTTTTTCAAATGCGCCAAAACTGTTTTGTGGTCAATTCCCAGTTCTTCAGCTACTTCGTAAATACTGATATGCCGATCTTGCTCCACTTTTTCAAAAATGGCATCCATTTTATCCGTAACAGCGCCCAGAGCTAGGTGCATCTTTGACATCATCAATTTCCGGTTTGAAAATGCTTAAACCGAATTTGTGCTACTCTCACAGACACTGCACTAGGTCCATAAACATAACAATTTTTTTCGCATTTTTACCTTTTTTGTAGTAAATTTTAATGTTTATCGAATTTCTTCATTAGAATCACTCATCTTAATAGTAAGAAAAACAAATGAAAATCACACATTTTCTTAATTTGAATTTGGAATTCCGCGAGTATCTAGTTGAAAACAGATGACAAATGTCTCGTTAAAATTTACTATTTTGTGGAGACTGAAAAGCTTCTTTCATGCAAGTTTGCTTTTTTTATTTAAAAATTTTGTCTATACTGCCATCGGACACAAAGTAAAACTATATTATATAATAATATGAAAGTAGGAATCAACTGATTTAGGTGTGACAGAAATAGAGTTTAGCTCTTTTTTTATTTTAAGATTTTATCTCTACATCATCAATAAGGCTTTTCGCTCGAACTAAATTTCTTCTACTTGATATCTCAATACTTTGAGAATATAAGACTTGAGTTTGAGTACAAGAGATTTTATCGTCGTGCGTTTTGAAACTGCCGTGAATTATATCCAGTATCATATTATAATGTTACCTTGACGTTTAATATATTCAAAATAATAAGAAATAGTGTATAAAAGTAAAGTAACAGCCTATACATGTCCAACTGCTGGGCAAAGGTCTCCTCTATACAGAGGGTATCAGGGCTTAGTCCACCACGCGGCCCCACTGCTGATTGGCGGACTTCACATATCTTCGAATTTTTTTTTTTGTTATTATTTCGAAAATATGCAGGTTTCATAATGACCTAATATACACAGGAAAGTGTATATTATATGTAAAAAGAAAATCACAAATACTTTACTCCAAACAAGCTTCTAGTAAATATAACAAAATTCCTTTGCGACACACGATGTTTGATTTCTCTCTATAAGGCCCCGGCCCGAGACGATTCTAGGGGCTTAGCCAATAAACGCTCGAAACGCCCCGGGTTAGCGGTGTTCATTGAAATGCCCCGCAGCGAGTGTCGCATCTATACTCCGGCTTAATCTCATCTTAGTCTAAGGGCGCGATAAGGCGCTGTGCAAAACAAATCGCTTCTACTCGCGCATGCGTCAAAATACGGCACGCATGCGTGGTGTAAAGTCAGTCGTTCGCCGCACGCCGCCGCGATCGGACGTCCGCGCTATACCGACGTACCGCGCTCCCATCACGCGATAAATGGCGCCCAAATTGGGACTGCGCTGACGCGGGTAAGTAATATAAACGGAGTCGCTTACCTCGTAAATATTCACGTTAATTCATGATTGTTAATTCGAAGTGTACCAACCGCGCAGCCTCCAAACGTGGGCGTGGTGAGACGTCTCCGTAGAGGGCGCCCCGTTCGAACAGCCTGATAAGACAAGTCAACAAAGTCTAACATTATATAAATGACTTAAATAATTAATCGAAATTCAGTTTACCGATTTAATGAGAACAAGCAAATGAGTTTTTCATGTTCGAAAAGTCGTTAATCGATTTTGCAAGAATTGCAACGGAGTTGCATAGTATATAGATAAGGATATCGCGACTTATTCCTTAATTTTCAATATAGTAAATACCTAACAGACGAACTTCAGCTTAACGTAATCTATATTGCAAAGCAAAAATCATATATTTAGTATAAAAATCTCATTAATTTATATATAAGCATAATAACGAACCTATCGTATCATCTGGATGTACGGAAAAATAAATGAATGTATAATAAATATAAAATATCTTATACACTTGATATGCAGTTTAGTATAGTTAGTTTAGATTACATATTTTAATTGTAGCAATTTCTTAATTAGCTCCATATGACTGATATTTTTCTTAAGGTTTGTAATAAACGAACCTTGTATATCTTATTATTGTTTGCTGTGTCGATTTCTGTAAGCCTTAGCGATATCCTTCATTAAATAACAAAAAAGCCAGCTGTGCGGGACATTTTACATTATTTTAAGGTTCTGCGCAAATGCAAAGTTCGCCTTTCCTTTTCCTCCATCCTTCAGAGAGAGTATATCGGTGCATCGAAACCGTCTATATGCAATCCTTTAATACAGTAAGTACGCCTGTGTTATTTCTGAAGAAAATAAAATCATATTCGATGCACGAATGTATTGTGGTCGACTTCCGAAACGAAACTATGTTTTCACGTGTTTCTGTTGACGGGTATAGAGGTTTTAAACGTCACAAATGTGTCCAAATACTTAAAAGACAGTAAATTTACTGGCAATTTACACTTTATTTACTTATTGCGAGATTTATATTAATTAAATACTTTTGATATCATTAATTATGGAGTGTTAAAACGCTCGTACCGATTTTAACTTGTCTTAAATTTTAATAGATCTACCTAAACGTAAAATGAGAATATTTTCCAATCTTTTCATTAACTTAAATGCTCTATGTATTAGTTTACACAGACGAACATATAATGAAATACTTTCAAAATCTGAATAAGCAAACTTTTTAAACTCCAAAGTATACACAATCCGCCTCCAAAAGGAACGCACTGCTCGTGCAACTTTGGGCATATAGTTCTTCACGTCGAAAATAAACTTCTGACACCATCTGCACCATACAAACATGCCCTACATTCATCTATGAATAACACGGACACTCGATTGCTCTTTAGTCTTCAGATTGGCTACCCCCAGTTGCACGACACGCTTCATCTTCTAATTCTTATTGACGTTAAAAAACGATTTCGCAAAGAAGTTGTCACAATGAACTTGTTATCACTCGACTTCTGCCGATACCACCTAACCTTCTATATACTTTCATACCCGGACGGACCTGCCCATTCAAGACTATTGCGTGGCCCTACCAACATTTTGAAAGAACATACAATATTTTATTGTTATTACTTACCATTGTATATATAAAATTTTTGGATTGTACAATACTAATACACTAGTAAGGTATTTCTCGAATATCGTGGAAAATAATTACATTATTTGTTTTTATATAACTATTCAATCAATTTTATCGTTTAAGGTTTTATCGTTTTTAATTTCCGACGTTTCGTATATTTTACGTTTCCTTGGTCAAGTGCCAGACTTTCTTGTATTTAGGCGAATACTAGCATTTATTAAAGAAAACTGTCTTACGTATTCTCACAAAAAATTGTATTGAAATTATGAAACGTCTAAATTAACAATGGCGAATCTATTTCTAATATTATATAGCGTACAAATAACATTAAATTTATCGCATAAAATGTTTGATAATATGCAGAAATTGATTCAGAATAAAGAAGTTAACCGTAACAACCCGCACCAACTATAGTAATACGATGGCATAGACGAATAAGACGATATTGAAAGAAAGGTATAACTTGTTAAACTGCACTGTGATATGGCCATTTTACAGTGGCTTTTGCTGTTGCACGAGTGGGCAGGTTGTTTGGGGAAGTACGACGGCATCATTGAAAGCTGGCGTGAGTGGAAATATCAAACTTTTGCGTTCTTTCTGTTTAATGAGGTATCGGGGCCCACACTTTTAAAGTTTGTCTGCGCATTTGACCTTAGATGTATGTACATAATCGCCGGTAAGCACTAAGCACCAAGTGACCTGTTTGCTTGCTTGCCACCATGATATAATAGTTTCATATTAATATTCATTATTTAATTTATTTCTCTGCGTGATAAAGTTGGCAATGAAAACATCTGCAGTAGAACGAAGCTTAGCCACCTAGCAGAAAGTCCAGTTTCTTTTCTTTATAGGGATACTATAGGTATATAAAACTATAAGTTTAAATAATTTTTATTAACTGTGACGTAGTCCTTCACTGCAAGCTGTTTGAGAAATCTCAAAGTCGCCCAGCGAGCTAATGAGCGAGCTAGACCGAAGATATCTGCATTCGCACAAAGGTAAACGACATAGCTCAGATGATTGGTGTGGTAAAGTAGCAATGGGCCGCCCAAATAGAATGCAAAACGCAGAACCGATGGAGAAGAAAGTTTCTCGAGTGGTAGCCTCATATGGCCATAGTACAGAACGACCCGCCACTAGATGGAGAGACGATTTGTGAAATTGTGGAGGATGTCGATGGGTGCTAGTGGCTCAGGATCATGCTTCGTGGCAGTCGTTAGGGGAGGCCTATGTTAAGCATAGTGGATTTGAACATGTGGTAATGATGATGATGATGAATATTTTAACAGTAAAAATTGAAGTGCAACTTCATATCAAACGCTCGTTTAAAGGCGTTTTTATTATAGTAAATCTTCAAGATACCGAAAACGGTTTTAACTGTGGTTAAAACTTAAACTGAAAATTATTATTATTTAAAAAAAATTAACTGTGGTTTTGTGGTGTGGTCTTAAATTTAGGAGAAATGTAATTTGTGGTGAAAATTGATTATTATTGTCGCAAAAGGAATTGAAGTGAAAGATTCGTTAAGAAAAAAAGCTCTGCAAATAATAAAAAATAACATTGGCAGCAGGCAAAGGCATTAAATACATACGACACGTGCCGTTCGCAACCGAACGAAGCCGCAAAGCACGTCAACGTGACCTGTGCCAAAAACAGACCGAGAGCACAATTTGAAAGGGTCTTACATAAATACGAGTAAACTCTGTTCTCAGAGGCTTGCTACCGATCGTATTTTATCAATTTATGAGAATAAATACTGATTAATTAATTATTTTGCGACACCGAAATGATCAACAATAATTTCTATTACCCCGGCGGACGGCTAGAACCTTAAAAGGCTTTTTTTGAGATTTCACGTCTCGAATGAAGAGGTTTTTTTAGCTTGTTAGCTTGTCCATTTTCCAGTTTGCTACAGAGTTTGCTTTTATTCAGCTGTTGCGGTTATAGCCTAATAATTTATCTCTCACACTAGGGTGGGATAGAAATCAAATGAGTCAAATGGGAAATTTTATCACTGTGATATAAGAACATTCTGATTAGTCCTTACGGGTTACACAGAGAGAGGGATATGAAAATTGAAGCGTTTTGAACGTAAAATTTAAATTCAGTTTTTTTAAACACATTCTTATTTCAAGCTCCACGTTTTGTTTGTGTATAATTATTTTTTAATAGATTTCACTAAAACGAAAATTTTATTGTATATAATCATCAATTTTAAATTATGACGGGATTAATGATTCCGATGAATTGTTTAGACAGGTAGTTTTGCAACTTAATCTGTATACTGCTCGGTTTCCTAATTTTTCGTTAAGGGCGATGCAAGCCGACGGGTAAATCTCTTAAGCTGACAATCCAACAAATTTTCGAGAATTGGCCTAAAATTAATATTAATTATCAATTATTAATCACAATTATTATCAATTAGTCACAATAGCAAATGTTTGTTAGTCAACAGACTATAAATGAATCGTTAAGTGTGTAGTCGGTAGATCGACACTAGAAGTTCAAAAAAAATATAGAGATGAGATTGTACGGAAAAGTACACTTTTAAATGCAGTGTCGAAAGCAAGGAGGCCTTTTGTCGGGATGCTGAAGGGCACTCAGCGTTTTTTTCGAGTCGCAGTGCGAAGTGTTACATTTTTTTTAATAGTTCGCTACTACAGCTTTAGTATAAGTGTTTTCTTTAATATAATACGTTTTAAAAAATACGACCAATTTCACTTTTCTCTGTAAATTTAATCATATGTTATTAATACTCTGTATAGGGAAATGAATTACAAATGAATTACAAATAAATTTCTAAATCAGCTGTCTAGCTCGAACAGTGTTGTAAAAGCTCGATATCGTAATATCAGCGTAGCATCAATGATGTTATACAGGGTGGCTTTTCTAAGTGTATCCATTTTTTTTATTAAATTCTAGACGTAAATGTTATATAAATATTTAAAATCACTCGTAAGTAATTGATTACATTAATTTGAACTTATCTCAAAAAGTGCGTGATTTATACGCAACTCATTTATTTTACGCGCGGTCATTCATAACTAACACGCACACAAGTTCGTGCACAGTAAAATTTTGGTATTTATGAATGACTACCGCATTGTCAACATATTCTATTTTTCGTTCTATTTTTTCTATTTTTCTAATAATATATTTTTAAGCAATAGAATGGCTTTTTTTTTTTTTGGAAAAAAAAACTGTTTTTTATTTAAATTATACTACCGAAAGACATGAACCTCCTGTGTAAATTTGGGCAGTTCTCAAAAAATCTCCCTGTATATAAATAAAGATAAATATTATTAAACGTCATTGCGTAACATACAATAAATTTTATGTCAGAATGGCGTGA